TCCCATTACAATTATTTAACACTTTGACTGCCACACCAAAATCACCAGATACATCATCTATATAATTTAATTGTAATTTTTGAGATTTGACTAGTGTACAAAAAATATACTCGTGGCATGTAAGAACATTTCTTTGTTGTCCGCCGCGTGTATAGGTCTGGATACACTCTTCAGACTTGTCATTTATTTCTGGTCTATAACAGTAGCGTTGATGTGGTAATATCTAATGTCGTTCTGCTGTAAATGTCGCATTGTGCAGTTCATTTATTCCTGAAAGTAGTGTGTCTTGTACAAGTGTGTAACATGGGATCATATGAAAAAGAACAGGCCCGGCTTCAGGCATTGTGGAATGAAATGTCAGATATGAGTAATGATGATCCATTCCAGAATGAGTCCAAAAAAGATCCTGACTATGAAACGTAAAGTTCAAGTAGTAGCAGTGATATACCAATTACTAAAAAGCCTCGGAGAATTGGTAACGGTGAGTATGAAGATGAATAAGCAAATATAATTAGTGAAGCTACTGATAACTTTATATACCTACACATTTGCTTATAAAATAATAGCTTTTTATGATACTAGTAAATAAATAATATCTTTGTTATTTTTTATGGCCAAGTGGGCTTGAGAGATAGGCTATTAAGACATTTTTGTATACCTATGCCATGCAAGATTTCATGTACGACTACATTATAAGCGGGTTATTGATAGCTTAAAACAAATTTGCAACGAGCATTCAAGTAAAAATGACTTCAAACATACAAAAACTTTTTTGTTGATCGAGTCTTCTTCAGGTCGTTTATATTTCAACACAAATTTATAGTTATCATTGAGTCAGTATCACTTCTTTTGTTTTGTTTCAGATAACGTAGTTTTATTACGCGCTGAGTCAGAAAATGAAGATTCTTCAGACAAAGAAGAATGCTATGAGACTGATTGGGGAATAGTAGTCGTCGATATGAGAAATTTCAATTTTGAAAAAAATGTAGGACTAACATAAGAAGTGATAAATTTTAAAGATTAAGATGAATTCGCCTACTATAGACTTTTCATAGATGAAGAAATTATCAATATTATTGTCGAACAGACTAACGTATACGCAAATCAGGTGATCGTGAATGGCATCGTTGAAGAAATTATTGGTCCATCTTCAAGACTGCAAAAATGGAGAGACACGGAAGTGAATGAAATGTACTGCTTTTTGGGGGTATTGAGTTCGATGGGTTTGGACGATAAACCGAAACTGGCTGATTATTAGAGAAATTCTGATTTATACTGGTCAAAAGCTGCAGGATATATGTCTCGGACTAGATTTGAGATTCTGTTGCGTATGTGGCACTTCGCAGATAATGGTTTATGTCAAGCAGAAGACAGACTGCACAAAGTTTAGTCGCTTGTGAACATGCGAAATTCAAAATTTAAAAAGGTTATATTACCAGACGAAAATATCTGCATAGATGAAACGATGTTACCCTTCCGCGGGCGTTTAAAATTTCGTCAATATGTGAAAGGAAAGAAACATAAATCTGAAATCAAACTCTTTAAGCTATGCCTCAATGAGGATATATACGTATCACTGCAAAATTTATTGTGGTGCTGGTAAAGTTGATGGCATGTCAGTAGCAACTAAAGTAGTATTTGAACTTATGGAGGAATGTCTCGATAAAGGAAAGACATTGTACACTGACAACTGGTACACCAGCGTAGAATTAGCTGAAAAAATACAAGGCAGGAAAACGCATCTAATGGGAACACTGCGAACCAATCGTAGAGGTATTCCGAAAAAAATACTGTCCACTAAACTGAAAAAAGGTGAAATTGTAGGGAGAGAGAAAAACGGCACCGTTATTTTCAAATAGAAAGATAAGCGAGATGTGCTTATGCTTACCACCAGGCATAAACTCAACTTCGTTGAAGTCTCAGGCAGAACTGAGGCCAAAAAGAAGCCAGAAGCTATTGTGGCTTATAATAATGCAAAAAGCTTTATCGATGTATCCGACCAGTTGTCATTCTATTCTACCTCATTTAGATGGAGAATCAAATGGTACAGGAAGGTGGCTGCTGAGTTACCTACTGGAACAAGCATAGTAAACGCCCATTATTTATATAATAAGAATAAAAATGCACGAGAAAGAATAAGTGTAACAGACTTCAAAGTAAAATTATGCTAGAAATTATTTTCAAAAGGTAAAGAAAATTATGATCCCCATGACACACCCGCAGATCATAAATTTATTCAAGCAGGAAAAAAAAGTAGATGCGTAGTTTGCTATCAATAAAATAAAGATAACCACGGACGACCTTATGCAATAAGTAAAACAAAACAAGTTACAACTAAATGCCAAGTCTGTGAACTAAAATTTCTTTGCTTAGAATGTTTTTTTGATAAGCACAAAATTATGCCAAAATAATCATTGAACATAATTTGAAAATATGTTTTATTATCTTATTTTGTAGAACGATTTTGTGTTGTTGGTGTTACATTTAACTTTAGGTCGATGATATAAATAAAATCATGTAATATCTATTTCTGCTTTTGTTAAAAATGTTCGATTCGAACAATTAAGAAGCTTGTCTTTATTTCATATTCTACGCATTCTAAGGTATAATAAACACTTTTATATCAAAACTGACAGTTTATTAGCATTTAAGTTAAGAAAAAATCTGTTATTATTAAACTGTTAATAGAAAGATAGCCGAGTTTTTTTTCTCAGGTCGATTATTTTTAATTCGGCCCAGGCCACGCTAAGTTATATCCAATTAAGAATACACGTGAAACGTGCCCCTGTAGAATGCATGCGGCTCAACGTTCTTCACTGACTGTGTATATTTATATATACACGTGAGGGTTTGAGCTCAACCATTATGTATATTCAGGTATACACATGGCAGTCAAAGTATTAAAAGATCATTACGATTGTGTTTTGCAAGTTTTTGTAGTGAATTATTTCAGTATTTTCTTGGTTTAACTATAAGTAGCTACTTTCAAGGTAGCGTGTTAACGAAATCAAAAACTGTGATCATTTTTTCTCGATCGACATGTCTGTGTCATTCGACATAATGAAGGGAAAGTCGTCAGCGTAGGCAATGTAAGATTCGTCAGAAAATTTGTATTTTATATCATTGACATATAGTATGAAAAAGTGGGACCCAAAATATATCCCAGAGGAACGCCCATATTTATCGCTAAGCAAGTAGATTTTTCCGGACTAACACTATGTTTTCCAGCATGTTTTACGGATAAAAACTGGGATAGGCTACCTAAGAAGCCAGTTACCAATTCAAGCTAGTACATCATGTTTCTAATTCAACATTTTGTTATTGATACAATCAAAAGCACGCGATAAGTCACAGAGAATGGAATTGAGGAAATTAACGTTATTTAGGTTCTCACTAATATAGAAGTATTACACCCATAAAAAATTATTTCTTCAACTTATTTACTTTTTGGCAAAATAATGACTATAAATCATATTGTGGCAGCAATGTCAACGTCTTTGTTTTTCTTTGCCTTTGTTGAAATGTTATAAAATGTAGTTTTTGTGAAGAAAGCAGTTTCTTAGAGCTGAGTTAAGCATAACAAAATGCCTCGAGCTCGAAGTCGTCAAAATTGTCACCATGTTAGTGACTTTGACAGCGGTAGAATTATTACCTATCGAGATGTTGGTTTGTTCTATCTCGAAATTGGTCGCCGTGTTAATTGTACTGCAATGACGTACAATGTGGATAAAAGAAGGTAGAGGAACACGAAGAAGGCCAACTGGTCCTCCGAGGAGTGCCACGGAGCGACAAGATAGGCGCTTCAGACAACTAGCCTTACGAGCCTTACTGCGTACACTCTATCGCCGCATTCGATCCTTTGGACTTTTTTCATACCGTCCACGGTTAGTGCTTCCTTTGACTGCGAACCACTGTCATCAACGTTTGAACTGGAGCAGAGCAGTGGATCGGTGTTGGTGCTGAACCCTATTGAGTCACGCCGAGTTACTCAGAGTACCTCAAGCGGACCTCTGGAAAGCAGTTCTTTCAGCAAGTCGAACTTATTAAGTAATTCAAGTAATCTATTCAAGAAAGCTTACTCAAAAACTTTTTGTGAGCTAAATGGTATAGTAATTGGTCTGTAATTGATTAAACCGTGCGGAGTCCCCTTTTTCAAGGCGGGAATAACTTTACCAACCGAAAGAGATTGACAGTTATCATCCAGTACTTCAGATATGTATCAGTGGATCGACTGTTAACAAAACCGTGCTTCCGCTATGAGATCTGATTTCTTATGGCAGGGTACAAACGATTACACATGATTATTTCAAATACCTTGACAAAAATGCATATGAGAAAAATTGGACGATAGTTCTGAACGTTCGAATTTTCATCGCTTTTCACAGGACAGACACACTTTGAATAATTGCCACATTGCAGAAAATGTATTAGATCTTATGCTCAAGTTGATCAGCACAGTAAGTCAGGTGCTGGAGTAACATTATCCTTAAGTTGTTGAATGGCTAAGATAACGTCACTTTCCTGATTGAAATCTAAATTCACATGTGTAATGTGGTTGAGGGTTTCCATAATATCAACATTCAAATCCGATGCCTGACAGACGCTGCTGAAAAAAAAACCACATGCATCGACAATAGATTAAGGGCTACAAGATACATTATTTATTATTTTGGTAGCTTACTGTGCCTGGAACTCGTAAAGTACTGTTTCCTAGAATTGTTAGCCAAACTATTTTGAACGTTCTCGATACAGTTATTATATGCTCTATTTATCTTGGCGATATCCAGCTGTAGCTAGTTCTAGAGATTCAGACAGCCACTACTCAGACGGTCATGCTTGAGAAATTTAGGGAGCTTGATGTTGATGCATTTTTACAAACTACTAGTTACGGGTTAAGCAAAGGCTTTTGGTGATCTAAGGTCTGACTTAGTGTTTGGCAGCGCTGCAATGTAGCTTTTAAAGCGAGTGACCAAGCTGTGAAATGTCCTTTTGTTTTACAGGTTCATACACTCCACCATCTTAATTGAACCTGCAAACTCTATAGCCTTCAACCAGTTCCGAAATGAATACTACATTTCTGTACCTCAGACGAAATCAAACCTCGTACAAGTTTTCAAATTCTCAAACAATATCCTTCACCCATACAAAAGAATACCAAGCAATAATGTAAAAAGTGTAACGTCGTTCGAGATTGTCTTCAGAAGCTTCATTGCCGTGGATGGACAGTCAGCAGGAATTTTGGAATTCTTGGAAAGAGATGTCATCAGGTGGAATGTGTCCAACAGCAATCTCAATGGTATTCACTATTGGTTACCTGTTCCTGTGGATACTCTGAGAGATGAAGTGATTTTGTTTGCTGAGAGAGAAGTCGATCATGGGTCGCATAAATCGTTTGACATTGAGATTATCACGTACAATGGGGGTAAGTATATATTCTAAAGCAAGCAGTGTGCAGCAAAATAATTAACTTGGAGGAAATATATGTCAAACGTAAGCATAAAGGCATCTTTCGATTAATATGATGTCTACAAATAATTCATTAACACATTTCTGTTTCTCTTCTGCTGTGTGGTTCATTCTGGACACCAGCTTGCTTGGGAAATATTATATATATATTAGTAAATTGAGTCCATATTAGTCAATTTACTACGGAAACTTGGAAAGCATGAAGGCGGTGCAAAACAGATGCCTGTGAAGTATAGACAATGCCCAATTGTATATTTTAAATGAAACACAAATATGTTGATATCCCTTATTTACAATGTTTACATTACGAAACAAACACATCACCCAAATGTATTTGCTGCCTTTATCGCTCTCTCTCGGACCATAACTGGGACGACCTACTCGAATACCTCGCCGTCCAGATCGACTCCCTGAGCATCAATCACCCCGCTTCAGAGGTAGTTTCTCTAGGTGATTTCAATGCCCATAATGAGCTTTGGTTGGGCTCAAACAAGTCCGATGCAGCAGGTCGTGCAGTTGAAGCGTTCGCTCTTACTCAAGGGCTGACCCAGCTGGTGACGAGCCCTACTTTTTTCCCCCGCGTCTCGTCACACGCCAGTGGCCTGCTGGATCTCTTTCTGACCACGCATCCTGTCCCTTACAGCACTGCTGTCCTGTCCCCCCTGGGTAACTCAGACCACGGTGTTGTGGAGGTTAGGTTTCGGTCTGAACCCGCTGTGGCAGCAGAAACTCGTACAGGCCGCAAAACCTGGCATTACGGACATGCTGACTGTGAGGGTCTCAGAGACTTCTTCTCTAGCTTTCCTTGGAAAGATGTCTGTTTCACTGACGCGGATGCGTCGGCTGTCTGTTCTTCGATAACCGAAATTATCCACGTCGGAATGGAGGAATACATCCCTCAAACAGTGAAAGTGCCCAGACCAGGGTCCAACGGCTGGTTTAACAAATCGTGTGATGCTGCTCGCCAGCATAAGATCAAGGCACACAGAACCTTCTTACAAAACCCCACTGTAGAGAACAGACAAGCCGACGTTGAGTCCATAAACAAATATAAAGAAGCGGTTCGCAATGCCAAAAAGCAGCACCATATAAAAGTTAGTCACAGGGTAATGTCGCAGCGCAATGGCAGTCGGGCTTTCTGGACGCTGGCCAAGCAGATTGAAAATAACTTCTCACACAGTAGAATTCCACCACATACGTATCAGAATGGAACTATTGTATTCAACTCGAAGGCCAAGGCGGAAGTGCTAGAAGTGCCAAGATCTTTGCTGCCAACTCTAACATGGACGTCTCCCCTAACGCCCAAGTGCCGTCAATTGAAAGGGTTCCCTACACTATGCGGGAGGTAACATTCAGGCATAAGACCGTAAGACGAGTGCTCTTGTCGCTCGATATCAACAAAGCTTCTGGTCCGGATTTGATTCCTGCCATTGAACTGAAGAGGTGTGCAGCGGAGCTTGCTCCACTTTTTTCGCGTCTCTGCCAGATATCTTATGAATCCGGCACCTACCCAGAAAACTGGAAATTTGCTCTTGTCCAACCCATCCCAAAAAAGGGATCTAAGACCGACCCTTACAACTACAGGCATATAGCTCTGCTTTCTGTTTTAAGTAAGGTGCATAAATCGCGAGCTTCTGGACTACGTCGAACGTCACAGCTTGATTAGCGACAGGCAGTATGGTTTCCGGCACCAACGATCCACAAGGGACCTCCTAGCCTACGTCATGCAATTGTGGAATAAACTCATCCAGTCTTATGGTGAGGCTCATGTCGTTGCTCTTGACATCACTAAAGCGTTCGATCAGCAGTGGCACGCTGCCCTCTTAAGCAAACTTCCATCCTATGGCCTTCCAGAAAAGTTTTGCAAATGGATGGCTGACTTTATCTCTGGCCGCAAGATATCCGTCGTAATTGACGGGTTCTCCTCTTCATCCCACAACGTCAACGCGGGTGTCCCCAGGGATTGGTCTTGGCTCCGACACCGTTTCTCTTACATATCAACGACCTCCTTTCCTGCACGATCAACCCAATACACAGCTTCGCTGATGACAGCACTCTACATGCAGGAATTCAGAGTGACAAGCCGATCTCTGCCCCTGAGCTGGAAAGAAGAAGACTAGCGACGACTTCCTCTCTGACAAGAGACCTGGAGGCTATCACTGCTTGGAGACTCAACAATCTTGTACAGTTCAATGCTTCCAAAATACAATACTGTATTTTGACGAACAAAAATCGTCCTAGCGCTCATCCGGTTTCAATGGATGGCCGAGTTCTGCCAAAGAGCCATTCATTTCGGCTGGTCGGAGTCCAGATCACCGAGGACCTCATCTGGCACGAACACATCTCTTCAATAGCTGCAGCTGCTGGAAAAAAGCTAGGCTATTTGTTTAGGGCTAAGAAGTACTTTTCTCCGCATGACCTTCTCACTCTATACAAGGCCCAGATAAGGTCTAGCCTCGAGTATTGCTCACACATTTAGGGTGCTGCCGCCCCGACTACATTGTCCATGCTCGATGCTGTCCAGAGGAGGGCGGTCCGACTGATCGATGACTCTTCTCTAACAGACAGTCTCGGGACTCTTTCGCACCGGCGGGTCGTCGGCGATCTAGCTCTTTTCTATCGCTACACCAACGGGCTTTGCTCCTCAGAGCTTTCATCCATGATGCCGCCGCGCGATGTGCCTGCCAGGCAAACCCGCCTGACTTTGGCATCCCATCCTAACCGTGTCGAACTTTGTCCCGAGGGTGTCGAGATTGTGGAACAATCTACAAGAGGAAGCTTTTCACAGTTCTACTAACCTTAGGCAGTTCAAAAATCGTATTAACAAATTTTCTTTGGGATCATCATAGCAGCCGCGGTGTTCCGGCATTTAGGCTTCTGCCTGCGTGGCTGCTTCTATATATAAAAAAAGAAATGAACCAGCGGAATGCAGAGTTACCCTTTGTTGCTTAAGAGAGCGGAGCACCGCGTTTTTCTGTGGAAAATATTAAATCATGTTTTTATAGGCTATCACTTTTCAACAAGGACATATTCTTTTAAATTATTTATATTTTTTGAGAATCGAAATTGCTAAGATTAGATTGGATACATAGTTCAGATCTTTAAGCGAGTGCAAGACCTACGACTATCTCTAAGACTCAATATCTTCCGAACAACTTATTTTCAGTTAAGTTTGAAGAGCATGAAGATGTACAATGCCATCACTTTGGCGAAAAGACAAATAGGCTGGTCTGCCTCTCTGGAATTGAAGGAATGGTGGGCTCTAGCTACATAGTTCTTGGGGATATAATGGGTTTGATTGTACCAAGGCCTCAGGAAAAGAAGGTTTTGTTATTTTTCGTGAACACTGCTATCAGGAAGATAGATAATCCAAAGATCAAAGATTTGGAATATTACAAGAAATTAAGAAAGGAGTTAGAAGTAGGTATCCATGGACTTATACAGCAAAATGCAACTCCATAATCATTATATGCATAATTACCTTTTGATACATACTTTTACACTGGGTGATTTACAAAATAATGATAATATTTCTAGCACAAAAACTACTAATAATTTCCCCTTGTCGAGTTACAGGGTGTAGTGAATTTTTTCAGATAGTACCAATTACTAATATAACATGAATATAGCGACTGAACTTTCAGTTTCTTTTTTGGCCAGTTAGATCTAAAATACAAGTCTCAGTTTCACCAGAAAATCCGTCGAAAGTACCACACGAAACGGAAAGTGCGTTAGTAGGTTTTCGGGTTGATCCGTTCCTTAGCTATATTTATCATGGCATAATTATATTACGAGTATAACTAAAGCAAGACTGATTTGTATAAAGTTTCTTTTATCTTGGAGATACACCTCCTGTATCAAATGGGAGATGGTTTCTATAACACCCAAATTATAAGTTTATCCATTAATTGCTCTGAGAAGGCCATATTCTTCGATAAGTCTCAGTTTCGATTTAGGCTGAAATTAGTATGAATAAATATTCTTCAAATAACATTGGGTGGAGGTGACACCATCTCTACTTCTCGGTTTCGTCAGTACAACCCATGTTATAAGAGCTTTCTGTGTTATATTTGGATGTAGTTTTTGTCTTAACAGTGGTCTCCGCTTTTTGAATCATGAGTAAAGATTCTAGCTGTGACAATTAGAATATTTAATAACATATTTTAAAAATATGCGTGCTACTCTCTAGGGATGCACCGATTGGTACTCCGTCTGATTCGAATAACGAGTACCGAGTACTCGGACCAGTACATTGATCATTTCAGCTATTGTTGAGATTATATTCACGTTTTTGAAAGATCTATTGATTCTCAAATCTAATTTACTTTTCCAAGAAATTAACTCACCACAAATACTTGAGCGACTTAGACAATATTTTGAGAGTGTATCGTCGTAGGTGTTAGTGTATTTATGGTATTTTCAGAAGTTTTTTTAAAATACTTTAGTATCTTGCAACAGCTATAGTCTAGCACCGAAACGAAAAAGAGTATAAAAGCACATTGTTAACGCAGCGCGTCTCTGAATACCACGCGCATCGACCTTGCCGATTCAAAGGCAGGCCACGCTACCAGTAGCATACGATGTGTTACGCTGTCTTCCAATTTCGGTATACGAGTATAGGTGTATGTTCTCTCCTGTGGGATCATTTTTGGAACACAAAATCGCTGCCATGCCAGTGCCATCACTAACACTGCATTTAAATCCTTTGGTTTTTGAGCTGCCTTTCTGGAGTCAACAAAAAAACACACAACTACTGGCTATCCTGACGGGACCAATTCTAATTTAGAAAGCACTGAGCCATAGTTATCCTCACGAATGAGTAAATATTTTCCTTGCATTTTGTTTCTTTTTTTTATATTTGTTGTTTGAGCGATCATATGTAAATATAAGAGAAAACACGGAATGCAAAAAGGCAATTCTACAATATATTTTTTTATTTACAATGATAGGTTAACTGTATTTCTTATGAAGAGACATGTAATAGCAATACCTTGTGTCTAAAAAATGAGCTACGCAAATACTGTGAATCCTCTAGCTTAGAAGATGGTCGGCATTTGTAATATGCTTTTATTTTTGGTGACCAATGTTGTTATCTTAAATTTATGTACTTTTCGTAGTAGTTTATCAATTGTGTCTATGTCTTTAGGACGGGTGAGCATAAGCTGACACTCCACATTTTCGCCATTTTTTTTCTATTAAGTCTATTACTTTATAATGATGTGACGAATAAAGGCGATGTATTATTATTATTATTATTACTTACTGAAAAAATATCTAAATCAGGCTGGTGAATTCAGCAAACATATTGTGGCTATTTCTTTGAGGGCGGATTAATCTCTTGGGAGACATATCAGGAAGGTTTGAAAAAAACATATAAGCCCAGAATTTATTTATCACATATGCAATTTTGTGACTTACATAAACTGTGTGTATTGCGTTCAAATCGAATAATTTCCCGGCCAAGTACCGGGTACAGACGGGTACTCGGTGCATCCCTACTATTTTTTTAAAGGTTGGTATAACACTGTTATATTAATTATTTGTTCTAGAAAATCATCAACGAATCCGAATTTCACTTGGCAGAAGTGAAAAAATATAAATCAGTACAAGAGAATAGATCAAAGCTGCGATACGCGAATGTCAGAGAGAGTATCGAACCTAAAAATATTTCTAACTACTCTAAAATCCTTCAAGAGCTGTCTCGTGAAGTAGAAGCTGTGGCCAGTAAAGTAAAAGAGTTAATTGATAGAGAAAATAGGACCCATTATGAATCTATTACTATAAATGGATCAGCTGTATTCCAAGGGCCAGCAACATTCAGTGAAGCTGAACTAGAAATTGTGAACGACGAGCCGGCAAACAATTTACTCCAAGACATTGTCAGGTAATTAAACAAAGAACATGAATGTGTAGAAAATACTAATTACTTGATCTAAATATGGAAAGCACAGTTGGCCTTAGCTCCTGTTGTTTTTAATGCTTCACCCAATGCCCACAAAAGTATTTCAAGTCATCACTAGAGCTTACAAATTACATATGGAGAATTGTTGTTTTTTTTTGTTTGAGGAAGCACGAGGACATTTTATCTTCAAATCATCCACAAGGCAAGTTATGAAAGTGCTAAGTGGCCCATCAGTGATTCAAGCTTGTAATTAACTCGACTGAGATTGGGGAACATTAGAACAGATAGTGTCAAAAAATCTTATTTTTCAGGAAAGACAACATTAGCGAGCCCCTATCTAACAAAACGTTCACAAATCTCGAAGCTAGCGAAGTTAATTTCCAAAAGGTGAATGATGTTGAAGCAACTGAAATTATCTACCTGAACGACACCGCTCCGACAATCAATGGAAACCTAATTTTTGAAGAGCCTGTCGAAACTGAAAATATTGTTAGTGCTTTGAGAGGAAATAGCAGCGAAGGTAATTTTTTGTGCCCAGTTATACGTATTTATGTAGCACGAAAGTATGTCACAATGCCTGTCCAAGCTTCTTTGATCTATTTGATCGTCGGTAGGTATTCTTGTCAGCTGATGCTTCAAAATGTGAAACAGTTACTGACACAACACGAGCGGAAAGTAGAAGAGACTGAAAGGTGTGAAAAGTGTTTTCAATACTCACCAATGTTTTCTAAAAATATTTGCTCCATTTCAGAAATTGTTTGATTAAAGGTAATATGTTTATTTTTAATTTTAGGTGGTGAGGAGGGAAGCCGGATAATATCCAATAGAACACTGCATTTTCCAGCAAACATTACAGTAGATTTTATCAACGGTGTCAATTTCACTGAATTCACGCGCGGGTTGTGTTTGGTTAACGCTGAATGCTACATACCAGGAACGGTCATAATAAATGGGGTGAGTTCCATTTATTAATGTAATTTATAATAGTTTGGAAAAATTATAAAAACAGCTTATTCGGTAGGTATGTACGAAAATTTATATTTCCTGCCAAACTGCCTTTAACTCAACGAATTTGTTTTAGAACATTAGCTCCACGAACGCTGAAATATTCCAGCTAAATGGGCTAAAATTCCCAGATGAGTATATGTTTGATGGTGATGGAACACAGGCAAAGATTACAGGTAGATTCAATAATAATACAAACTCAAGTAATATTTTCATTATGTCGTATAATTTTTGTTTAATTGCAAGCAACGCACTGTAATGAACCTTGTACTTACCCTTCTTCTCATAGAAAACTGGTACACTGAGAAAAAATTAAACCAAATAAAATGTTAATTATTCTAACAAGTTCAATTAGTTTAATTAAACTCCAATTTATAAAACAGCTTGAATGTATGAAACTAGTTTAATTGAGCCAAAACGCAATCCTCTTTTTAAACCGTTCACTTAGATTGTACACACCAAATTATTTAAAATTAATGAAGTAATAAAAGGAGCTTACCTACTCCAAGTAAAACAATTTAATTAAATTTATTGAATGGGTTTATTTAGATTTAAAAGTATACATGGATAATACTTGGATATTAAAACAACAAATCACACTTTACTGAATGATGCATATTATAATTGTGCTCTGACAAATCTTAGTCATCAAACATTTTGGAAAACTTATTTTGATAGTTCATATTTCCGAATAAGTACTTTGTAACCCAAACAAAATTCGATATTTTTTTATTTTCATTGATTGTGAACTTTTTATATATGGTATCAACTTTTACCAATTATTTGTTTGATTGTTCAGATCAGGTTATACTATATCACCATTCACAAGAAGAAATTCTTTGTTCTAAATTCCGGAAGTACGGAAAGTGAATAATTATTTGTACAAGAATTTTACTTCTATTACTTATAACAAAGCCAAATTGCACTCACCCGCTTTACATACCTTCGGAAAAACCATTATTGATGAGGAAGAGAGATGGAAATATACAAAAGTATGTAGGTGCGTGAAAGACACTCAATTGTAGGATCCTATCTGGCAGCATCGGAGTGTGACGGACAACGGGGTAAAGTAGAAGAGTGATAAAAGAGAGATGGCAGAACGGGCGCTGGCGCCTGCCGCTTAGACGGATGCGCTCAACAAATGCGATTTGTTTCTCCCATTCGCAGAGTTGCCGATACCAATATGTCATATTTCTAAGAAATCTAAGTCTACCCAAATTTCGGGAAAATAGCTGCGGATTCCGCATAAGAGTATTCCAAAACTGAAAAAAGTTCAAACTATTAAAATTGTATTAATGTTTCATGGTTCAAATCATATTTTTCATGTTTGTATATTGTTGTATAAATGATTTTGTAATCCCTATTCTTGTTGCCAGCAGAGATACAACAGTATTGAGAGAAATCATGGACCGCTAGATAGGGCTACAACTACCATATGACTATCAAATAGTAGTGATAAACAGGGTTTGTTTACAGCACAGTCGCCTGGTGTGGCGAATTTGCGCCATAGGGGCGATTTGACAACTTTGAAGGACAACTATAACGGGTACTATGGTGCCCGGTATTCGGGAATCTGGCAATACCTGATGATTCCTAACGTTTATTACGCCAGATTGTTTGCTGACTTGCGCAGTACAACATGACAATCAACGTAACTGAGCACCTGGTAACCCTGGTTTAAGGTGTTATATTTAAAGAGCTTGGGGAAGTTAGGTATCTAGGTCACATTTTTTAATGTATTTCGAGAAATCCGTGTTGAGTAAATACTAGATCACGTTTCTTGCTTAGTTTGCTGAAAATTCTACAATAGACGTACATTTTGAGAAACAGAGATTTGGTGACGACAAAATCGTAAAAATATAACGCATTTTCGTAAAATAATTTCTTTGTTGAAAAGACTGTGGCTTGATGACCCATTGAACGAGTATAGTGTCCCGCTCCGCTTTGAATATTCGAAACACTATGCTCCAGCAGCATTCAGCTTCAATGTTATCTTTATGAAGTTCTAACGTCTAGGCCATGCTGATTAAAAGCTTGAATGAATCAACACTTAACTCTAAATTCCCCACAATTCGGGAAGCTCTACTCAAATTGGCAACACAGCATATCTGCCTATTATTCTCATTCGTGATACAGGTCTGCGGTCTGCTGCAAATTTCAGTATGCGTTGAGTCGACAGAAGAAGTACAGTAGATGCGCGCATTACGCACCAGTTCGATTGGACGTCCTGTGAACCGATTTCGGTCATTTCGAGATTTCACGAAATCACCTAAATCACTCTACTTATTTTTATGAATGGATAATTGGTTTTGTAGCAATAAAGGTTGCGTCTCATAACAAAAATAAGAAGATACCCACTCTAACAAAAAATAGTCTCTTAAAAATGTGTAACGAAAATAAAAAGATATTCTAACAAAAAAATAAGTTCTCAAAAATAAAACGCAATAATGAACACAAATGTTTCAAATGGTCCTTCACAGCTGGGGCTCAAAAACGTCTCCTTCATTCAATGAACAGTATGTCAGGCGGTTATAAAACTCCTGACGAACTCTCGAGAGGGTAGAAGGCTGTATTTGCCCGAGCGCTTCAACGATTTTCACCTGTAGGTTATGCAAATTGTCTGCTCTCTCATTGAAAGTGTAAACAGAACTTGTCACATAACCCCACAAGAAAAAATCATTGGGCGCTAGATCGGGTGATCTAGGAGGTCATTTTATTGTTCCGTTACCGCCAATAATCCGGTGGCCGAACACACTTTCAAGGTAAGTGTGTACGATCGCCGCATTATGCGCCGGGCATCCATCTTGTTGGAACCAAATATTAGCGAGATCAATGCCAAGCTGCCTAATTGCAGAAACAATCTGCGTCTGTAGTAACGCCAAATATTTTGCAGCCGTAAGAGTTCCATCAATAAAGAACGGTCCGATAATGTTATTACCTAGAATTCCTGCCCACACATTCAGTTTCTGTGGATACTGCGTGCGGACGGGATTACTGAGGTGTTTATTTTCCCGAGACCAATACCGAACGACTGAAGGATTGTGATGACCGTGGAGAGGGAATGTAGATTCATCAGTAAACAAAATGTTACCAATAAAACTTCCATCCCTGTTCGCCTTCTCCATGACCGTTTCACAAAACTCCATTCGACGGTATTTGTCTAAAGGAAATATTTCTTGAACCGTTCCAACCTTGAAGCTATGATAGCCGTTGCGATGCAAAATATTTCTTGTTGTTCTGGGTGTGAGATCGGCTATTGGTACCATTTCAGCAATTTTTCTGCTTGAGCATGGCTCAGATACTTCTGCAGTGGCACAAACAGCAGTTTCGATCTCCTCCCTTTTCTCGCTAATTTTTAGTTTCCAACCTTCAGGGTGCATGCAGCTATGGCACTTATGTAAGCAGCCCACCCTCTTGAATTTTTCGTAGGTATTTATAACCGTTGCGTGAGACGGAATTGGTCGATCTGGGAAGCGTACCGCAAATAATTCAACAACCGCGCGTGCTGAGTTATTCTGGATGTACCATTCTATCATTTGAAACTTTTCTTCTTGCGAGTACATTTTTAAGATATTTTGTAATAAATAAAGACGCACCTTTCCTACACAAAACCCAACCGCAGAGTGAGTCATAAATCCCTTATCGCACTTGACGACGGCACGCGCTTTAACGGTAGGAAATATGTACGAATAGCGATGAAAGTAGACGAGCCGATGCGCTGTTGCCAAAAAATGATTTCCCATGTATAACAATGGTTTTTCCTAAGTAAATTCTACACCACTGTGAGCAAAGTAGGATATTTTTAAATACTATAAAGTCTGCACGAATGGTGCATTTAAAATAAAAGCCAATTAAGCCTATGCTAAACACATGTTTGATATAAATACCGTTGATTGACCTTCTTATACTCTTACGTTAGCAGTAACGCCCCTATAAGGAGTAACCATGGGTATGGGTCACTAAGCGCCTAATGCTCGAATATTTCACTTGATGGCTATAACTCATTTACTTCACAGCCGCTATACTAACAACGGCAACTGCCAAATATGAAGCTCCTGGCAAAAATCACAAATGAAACTGCGTTACCGGTACTGCGTCTGTCGCTTACTTCCGATTATTCACGAATGAAGGACGAGTCTTGACAAGTTCGCGGTTCAAACAAACAGTTTAACTATTTTTGTTAAAATGTTCAAATGTTTTAAATATACTTTTTCTACATAAACTAAATTACCTAAGCTAATCAAACAGTTAAATAAAACAGCCGCATGATTTGTTATTTTCAAGCAAATCAGTTTAATAGTATACTACTTCCAATTACACTGGTTCCAGAAAATTCATTATGATTAAACTAAATTTAGTTACTTAGATTAATTAAAAAAATCATTGTGGGTAATGAAAACTTTCCCGAACAACTGTTTAATAGGCCACGTTTTCTCAGTGTACTTATTATCTACGAATACTACACGACAAGTCAGAAAATCGACGCTAGCATTATGTATCACTGAATAATCTCCAGTTGCAATCCAAATACTTTGATTTTATGCAATGCTCATAGTTTAGTATTCGCCAAATTCAAAAAAATGTAATACTAATTTTTCGAAAAAATTTTAATACAAAAAGTATCACAGTCGTGATGAACGAATGACGTATCAGGCGAATATGATGAGTTGTTAACAGGATCTTCCGTTTTAACTCGCTAACTAATCTCTCATGATAAAACTTTTTATAGTTTCTCATCAAGTGGCTGTGATAAAGCTTTGTTTTTTTTACAGGTCACAAAACGTTTGTAAATACCTTAACTGCAAATGAAGTTAGCGTTGTAGAGAAAATAGACGGCGTGAATCCCAAAGAAATCATAACGCTTTCCACTAATCAACATATTCCTACAAAGCTAACTTTCCAGTCTCTTCATGTCACAGAGAAGCTGAATGTATGATCATCCTATATAAGTATAATAATCAGTGGTGTGAATTAAGTTACTAACCATTTTCAGGTAACAGGAAGAATTTTAGATGAACATGGACACACGTTTGCACAAAAACCAACTTTGCAACATTCAAATATATTGCAGGCTAACGTAAATTTCAAAGATCTCGAAGTAGATGGAAAAATAATAGTTGGCGAACATTTCAATGGAAAATCCTTTAAGGGAATTCTTGAAGATATTGTTTATCAGGTACTCATGTTCGTGATAGCGTTGGATAGGAAATCAGTCAACCATTTACCTTTCTTCAATGTAATTTGTTCTGGGAAAAGGGGATGGGTTGTGCATGGTAATTACCCTTATTCTAACCCTATTTTGGAGTCAGCTAAGCCATATTTAGAATTCAGTCATTTTTTGCTCTGCCAGCTAAAAACTGTCACTGCAATAGAGGGTGTTCCAAAAACCATGGATCAAACTAAAGGGGTCAATCAGGAAAAACATATATATGCGCTTAAACGATTATGCGCGATATTTCGGTTAATCGACAGTTTGAGAAATATTCAGAAAACCGCAACTTTTAAGAGTGTAGTCGCTTTTTCTGAAATTGTCTCTTGTTATTCCTCAACCAGCTTACAAGATATGTTGCCAAATAATTTAATGTTGAGAAAAAGCTGTCACTAAAAAATCAGTCCAGCGAGTATAGGTGTATGAGTCTGCTTAAAAGTAATTTTGTCTGGTATCAAATATGTTACAGGATATACAAGAGAGAGACTTTAGATAAAATTAGTAGTCAGATGAACTAACTAAGATTATTGAAAATTGCTAGTATTAAACACTTTCAAAAGTCCTTTTAAGTACCTAATTAATTTTCATGAACAGCTTCAAGACAAGATAATCAAAACGCTGCTGATACCCGTAATTTCGAAAATTTCCATTTCATGCACTTAGTCATATAACTGCAATTTTCGCATGCATTTCGAATTGCATGAGAAAAAGATTGACGTATCATATTTCTTCAAACACACTTATGCCGTGGTTTTCATTCTGATGATTCGGCTCGTTTGTCTGGCCGCTAAATGAAACCACATAAGTCTGAATTACTGTTTACGTTTCAACCACCAAGCTGGCCTTTTCCAAGTACAAACGATAATATATGTTTTGTTTCAGTGACAGATTTTTCTCAACGATACATTATTTGGCAACATATCCTGTAAAGCTGATTGAAAAATAACAAAATACAGTTTCAGAAAAAATATACCAGTCTCAAAAGTATCGATTTTCTACAAATTCTTCAGAATCTCTATAACCAATTAGCTGTGCACAATCGGATGAGGACATATATTGTTTTTCTGACTGGACATGACCTCTCCTATCAGCTCTTTTCATTTTATCCATGACCTTTGGGACACCCTGTATATGTATGCAATGTACATTTGCATTTTTCTCTGCCCGTCCACGCTCGTATCCTTAGTATTTTTCTTTTAGACAGAATATTTACCTCCATTTTGTGATCCCAGAAATCGACGTCAAGCCAGAAACGAGGGATAGACCAAGTCATAGTAGTTATCAGAAAAATATAAAAAAATCTAAGACATATACTATTCCAAATAATGGCCTTACAAAAAATCGGAAGAATCGGAAAAACCTAAACCATGTGCTTTTAGTTACCATTACCACAAATTTCAGATGGTAACGCCAACTTTATTAAAATCAAGCATATGGTGAAGGAAGAATTTCCAATTTCCTTTCCTTGCGAGGACATCGTAGAAGAAGAAGACCCGAGTACTTCAGTACGTCAAATATAAGCAAGTATAGGAGTGCCCAAAAGTACAGTCCACCGAATCTTGCGAAAGATCGAGCTCTACCTGTCCCACGTACAGCGAGTACAATCTCTACAACCCCGGGATTATCTTCCTTGAGTTGAGTTTGGTTAAACAATGTTACAGAGATGCAGAGAAGATCCGCGATTTTTAGAGAAAATATTATGGACGGATAAGACGTCATTTAAAAAAGATGGTTACATGAATCTACGCAACTTACACAAGTGCCACGTAGAAAATCCATATTTGATCAAACAAGATAGATCAGTATCGTTTTAATCATGTAGCCCGGGAAGCTAAATGGGAGAATCATTGTTCTCTTTGAACTCGCACAGTTCTTAAGTGACGAAATTTATTTAGACTCTTAAAAATCATTTATCAAATTTATTGGAAGACTTGCCACCAAGCATTTACAGAGACGTGTGATATCAGCAAGATAATACCTTGATGCGGCATATCCCAGCAGATGGATAGGGCGGTATGGTACAATTTCGTGGCCAGCCCTTTCACCTGATTTAAATCCACTCGATTTTTTCACTGGAGAGCAGTGAAGGAAAAAGTTTACTCAAAGGAAAATCGAAAATTTAGCTGAGCTACGTGACAGAATATCGGAAGCAGCTGAATTTGTTAATAACGGATGATTCGTCGTTCTGTTAACCCGATCATTTGTAAGAAGATGTTAAGCGTACATTGTTGCTGAACTTTACACACACAGGTCTGCAACCAAAGAACTGTTTGGATTATTTCAACTGATTCTTATGTGGTTTGATGTGCTGAACACGAAAATGATATCAGAAAATGTCTAGCACGTCAAAATTTTAAACGAAATGCTAAAGGGTTTAGATAATTTTTCCTTGTCTAGTCTTGACAGATATTTTAGTATTAGAAGTGGATTTGCAAAAGAGGGTAAATTCACCTGACCCTTTTTGTTTTATACGTGGCGAATATACAGTTTTAAAGCCACAACTCAATATAACAGACTTTGTAAACAAAGTATATTTTGCATATTTTGAAATAAAACTTGGTGATCAAGATAAAGCTTGGGCCCCGCTAAAATTTGCAAATTATGTGTTTAAGGGTAAAAAGGAAAGTTTCCGCTTTGGGGTACCTATAGTATGGCGAGCGCAAAGGAACCATAGTGGCGAGTGCTACTTCCGCTCATGTGATGTCAAGCAGTTCAACACAAAATCAAAGTATACCATATAATATCTCTTCTTCCTCATGATGCAGAAATACCTGTTCCAATTCCCCCTGCTTCGTTGGGAGTGGTACCAGGCTCAGATGAAGGTGGAGTACAACCTCAAGACTATCAGGATTCAAGTTCTGACTTTGAAGATGACACTAGACCAAAATTGTTCTCCCAGGAAGAGACAAATGATATGGGAGAGATCTGGATGTTCAAAAAGATGCTGCTGAGTTGCTTGGATCACGACTCAGTGATAAGAATTTATTTACTTACTTAAAGTGTCTTTTTCTTGGTTCAGACATCGTGAAAAGAATTTTTTGCCTTACTTTACGGAAGAAGATCAGTTCACCAGCTCATTTGTATTATATATTTAAAAAAATCATAAAATAGTTAATTTTTACTCGAAAACAAGTTTATTGATGGAATCAGGTTCACAAAGAAATAGCATTTGAGACAGTCAAGTGTGGATCAGGCATGTGGTGGCCTAAATCGTTGATGCAGTGCTGGAGGCGTTCTTGGAAGTTCGCGTAGACTCTCTCCAACATCACTCTCTCAACTTGGCGACTTCCACGCGAATTTCGCCCTTCAATTCGTTCAGAGTTCGAGGCTTGTTCGCGTATACTCTAGCCTTGAGGTTGCCCCCATTGCTTCCATCTCACGTGCGAATTTCATTCGTTGTGCATAATCTCCGGACTGTAACTGTTGCACAATGGCCAATTTGTAGGGGTGAAAGCGGAGATCCATATGCAAAATCCGCCTTACAGAACTATCACTAAGGCGAAGTGCAGCAGCATGTTTCCGGGCAGATCGAGTCGGACTGCGAAGAAAGTGTTCAACATTTTCAGGAGTTCGAACTGTTCGCGGCGCTCCTCTTGATCTTCTGTTGATCAGTTCACCACGCCTGCGAAGTGATTCAACCCAACGAAGGATGGTGTTTCGAGAGGGAACAGCTCTATTCCGATGAATGTTGAAGTGGCGACGAAACTCACGCTGTACGACGATGACTGACTCATTATTTCGGACGAAACAATCATAGGTGAAAACGCGGTGCTCCACCGTCCAAGGCTCCATAACGACAACTGGTAAAATAATGCTAGGATCTCGCGAGTCAAACGGCACCCTCCCCACTTCTCTCGTAGATGGAGGCGGAAAGTACTACCCATCCCAAAAACGTCCGTCCTCTCTGCCGCACCCTGTATCTCCTACGAGTAATACCTTGCAAAAAATTGATACCCAATTTATGAAAAAACGTGATGTGCTATGGCAAAGCGGAGTTCATTTTTAGACTCAGTGCGTCACAAAAAATATAAATAAGTTATTACCAAAACAACTTTTTAAAAAATGTTTTTGCAGACCTGTGACATTTATTGTGAATTTAATAAATACATTCACGAATATGAATAAAAGTGGCAACAGTGTCACTACGATGAATGGCTGTTGTCACTCCGCCTAAGAAAAAATTAAAATTTGTAGTAATAGGAACTAAAAGATCATAGAATGTAGATTTTTCCGATTCTTTTTTAAACCTAGAATTTGAAACGTACACGACATATATTTTTTTCGTATACCTATAATGACATATACTGCCACAAGTAATTGAATTATTATTCTAGGATAAGCCTAAAGCTACCATAAGCGCACTGAAGAAATTTCCTCAACCAATTAGAGTCCTGAATCGACTAAACATTACAACATACTCCATAAATGACGTTAATCTCCCATCGCTGGTCACCAAAGACAAGCAACAAGCTTTAAAGATGAATCGCTTAAACGGTGAAGTCACCATTCGCAATCTGCATCTATTAGGTGATTACAATGGGATAAATGTCACCAAGTTGGAAAAGGAGTTAGTTATGCTGACTGGAGACCAATACGTAGGATCTACATTAATCTTCATGGATGAGCTAGAGGTGAATGACTTTAAGATAGAAAAGCTGAATGACGTCTTACCAGAAGAGTATTTTTATACCACCGATAATAATACTATACATGCGAATATGGAGTTCGATGATGTGCTGGTGAGTGAAATTACTACATTTCCATTTAAACTATCTGTCAACATTTTTACATGAAGTACAAAGGAATTGAATATATTTCTGTGTTGATCATTAGCTATCGCAGTGATCGACTTTTGTAAGACCTTTAATTTTGGTTAAAGTTTTATGTTTTAGTAAGTCTGTCAGGTTTGGCTACCCAGGTACCAGACAAAGTCACTTAAAAAGGGAAGGGGTAGGAGAGAAAGAAGAGAGCAGTCGAACGTGTCTTATTACAAATTGCTCTAAAAAAATAATTTTGAAGATCAGTGTCGTTAGATGATTTAACAACTCACGAAATTTGTGAATTAATCTTACTTGAAATTTCATCTTTAAGGTCAAAAACCTAGTAGTAAACAAGAACGTGGAAGGGATTTCTTCTAGTGATGGTCTGTTTGATGGTTTGGATGGCAAATATCTAAGCATCACCAAGAATCAAAGCATAGACAGTAACTATTTCATAGGGCTTTCAAACGTAGAAGACATGGTTGTGGATGCAGTAAACGATATCAGTAGCAATTTTTCATCTCAAAGTAAACTTTTGGAGGTAATCAAACAGGCGCTCAATCAAAGCACTTTACGAGTAAAAGGTATGAATGTTAAATATACTTTTCTTCCCTCAGATTGTATTAAACTGATGGCTCAAAGCTTTCCACATGTAAAAATAAAACTCAAACATGTTCCCACTCTACTCACTGAAGGATGCGTAGTACTACTTTGGGTCAGCGGTAATTATTCTTTTCAGATTTACATTTCGAAGAATCGGTGACCGTCAATATCGTTAATAACAGGACTATAAACAATTTTACTAATAACCTATTACAACTTCTGAAAAATGAAGCATCAAACCTGACTGTGGAGGTAAGTTTTTATAAGTACAGGACAACACAAACGCAAGCGCCTCACCATATATACATGTATAGTATTAAGTAGCTTAAGAACCTAATTCCGGCACGGGTATTATTACGTATTTGGAAAAGTGACATTTTGTCGTTTTTTTTTTGATGTGACGTAGGTTTTTCTACAAGATGCTACCTTAGCACTAGCTGATGTACACTTGTTGTGAACTCGTTTTGTAGTTGTACGTGTTGCCTAAACGTCATGATGCTTCAGCTATCAATATTTAGCTCTGATGTGATGTAACATCTGCTTCAGAGATGGCATTATTGCAGGTGGTCTAAGCTGTAAGTTGTATACTATAGCTGGAAGGCAATGGCGGTGCATAGGTGCATAGTGAGGACGTGTGTGCTAATAATGTGTTGGTAATAATTCCTTTGGTTTCTTGTCTCAAATACACTTACTTGAGATTCAAAGCTAACAATTAGTTGCGCATCCACTCTTCCTTATACAGGAATATTTATAGAAGTAAAAAGGTTATTACATTATTTTTTATTTCCAGTCATTTTATAGAAATTCATTTTGTGATTCCAATAGAAAATACAAATCGACTTCCCGCAATCGTAATTTATAACTTTGAATATAACCTATCTTCAGAAAGGACACCATATAAATAACCCGCCGGACACAACTACGAGGGATGTCTTTTAAGTTTTGCATATAGAAACATAGTAGGCCCCGGAGACCCGGGGATCGAATGTCAGTACTGAATCTTGACCTCACTCTTTAGTAAACTTAAATTCAAAGTTTCACAACAATACGTGCAGTGATCTCACTACAGTGAATTTTTAAGTGTCGCCAAGTCATTAGAAAAATGGAACTCAACCGAGAACATTTTAGCGCCATAATTTATTACAACTTTCAGAGACAATTATCGCAACAAGAATGCCTTGCTGAGTTACTGTCCGTTTTCGGCAACGAAGCGCCACATCAGTCGACAATTTCCCGTTGATATGGAGAGTTCAAACGTGGCCGGGTGAGTATTAGCGACGATCCCAGGGTGGGTGCACCAAACACGGCAGTCACCCAGGAAAACGTCGATGCTGTGCGCAAACTCATCATTGAAGATAGACATGTGACATGTCGCGAGATTGAGGCGTCCTTGAAGATCTCAAAGACCTCAATTCAAAAACTTTTACATGAAGAATTAGGAGTAAGAAAATTAGTTTCCCGTTGGATACCCCACCTGTTGAATGAAGAGCAGAAAGCAGCAAGGGTTAACTGGTGTCAAAAAACGCTTGACCGTTTCAATTCCGGAATCTCAAAAAATGTGTAAAGCATTGTTAGTGGTGATGAATCGTGGATTTACTGTTATGAACCAGAAAATAAACGACAGTCGGCTGTTTGGGTGTTCCAATGTGAAGAAAAGCCAACAAAAGTCATCCGTTCTCGAAGTGTTTCGAAAAAGATGGTCGCGACATTTGTGTCAAAACCGGGTCATATTGCAACAAATCCTCTTAATGAGCAAAAAACTGTTACTACGGATTGGTATACCACCATTTTTTGCCAAAAGTCATTACCGAGCTTCGAAAAATCAACCGCGAAAGAAGAATCATCCTCCACCAAGACAATGCAAGGTCGCACACAGCCCAAAAAATAAGGCAGTATTTATTGGACCAACCTCCATATAGTCCCGATCTAAGTCCTAACGATTTCTTTACTTTCCCGAAAATTAAAAACAGACTGCGTGGTCAAAGCTTCCAGTCACCAGAAGAAGCAGTTGACGCATTCAAAAATGCTGTTTTGGATCTGCCAGCAAACGAGTGGAATAAGTGCTTCGAAAATTGGTTCGAGCGCATGCAGATGTGTATTAATCTTCGTGGAGAATACTTCGAAAAACAATAAAGTCATTTAAAACTACCTACCGTGTTGTTTTATTTCTATATGCAAAACTTAAAAGACATCCCTCGTAATAGATATACTTCATTGGTAGCTTATTCAGTAATAATTTTCTCACAGCAAATATCACTGATGCAGACCAATACACATAATAATCCAGATGCGGTCTTTCTACTGAACCAACTTTTCTTTCTTTCACATCTCCTCAGAGATAAGTACTACTTAGTTTTCTGCAACCAACAGTGCTTGCTTGAGCGTGTCGTGTCGTTGAGTCATTCCTCCATAGATGGACGCTCTTGATGACGCTCACAGCGATCACAGCGAGCAAACGTGGAATGAATAATTGCACACTAAAAACTGCCTAGTCTGCAAAATAACATTTGGTCGTTTTTTTTTTTTTGATGTTTTTTGGTTATTTACATAATACGCCTGCGGGTATTTAACCTCGGCCTTCGCGGTTGCTTCTCAGTTACACAGTACTACCCTATGTGTGATGTACAGTTACCTAAAGCTGATGCTCAGCTAATTCACAGAAATTGCTGAAAAATTTCATTTCCGATACGACTTTATCAATGGCATCTTACCCTATTTCATATTTACTTTTTCAGGGAAATGTATTCTTAGATGATATAGATATTGATAGATTTGGCAATACAAATTGGAGTTCGCTTGTTGCGAACCTCATCTTCAAAAACAACACCAACTTTAGTGTTAAAGATACGAAGACTTTCACCAAAGAATTATCTATAGAAAAGCTGATTCAGACAGAAAAGCTGAACAACGTTTTCTTAGACAATATACTGACTAAACAAGGCGAACAGGTATTGAAAGGAGATATACTCATGAAAGGGAATGTGTCATTTATGGATCTGGAGCTTCAAGATGATCAGGGTGTATTCAGTAAACTATTAGTAGAAAATGGAACTTTCGTTATCACTGGTAAGCTTATCTGGTATTATAATTCATGTTTTATGAATAGATCATTATTTGCATGTGGTATTTCCATAATCTCATATATTGAGAGTATGATGTTTGGAATTATATGGCATAATTTTCCGGTATAAGGGGGACGGGTTGTGGTACTAATTATATCCGAACTTACATAGAATTGAGAATGTCTTTGTGTCAGTCATAACAATCTTTGAATTTCAGGTGACATGGTATTTTCACGAATGCCGCATATAAAGAATTTAACCTTTGATGGGAGCATCAATGGCAAGGATCTGGAGAAAGAAATTCGTAACATGTATTCTATAGATAACGCAACAGACATTAATCTGATGGTAATATTTGAGAGGCCGGTAAGTGACTTCAGTCGGTTAAGAAGTAAAGCAACAGGAGATACTAAACAAAATATAGTGATCCAAGCTCAGGGAATGTTTGTGTAAAATACACTAGAGGAAACGTACAAAAAGTGCTGGGTGTAATTAAAGATGTGATCATAGCGGTCGGTGGAGAGATTCACATGAACAGTTTTTTTTTTCTTTTTTATATCGAAACAGCCGCGCAGGCAGAAGCCTAAATGCCGGAACACCGCGGCTGCTATGATGATCCCAAAGAAATTTTGTTAATACGATTTTTAAACTGCCTAAGGTTAGTAGAACTGGGAAAAGCTTCCTCCCGTAGATTGTTCTACAGTCTAGACACCCTCGGGACAAAGGAGCGGTCGTATCGGCCAGTTCTGGATGTACGAAGTTTGACACGGTTAGGATGGGACGCCGAAGTCAGGCGGGTCTGTCTGGCAGGCACATCGCGCGGCGGCATCATGGAAGAGAGCTCTGAGGAGCAAAGCCTGTTGGTGTAGCGATAGAAAAGAGCTAGATCGCCGACGGCCCGCCGGTGCGAAAGAGTGCCGAGACTGTCTGTTAGAGAAGAGTCATCGATCAGTCGGACCGCCCTCCTCTGAACAGTATCGAGCATGGACAATGTAGTCGGGGCGGCAGCACCCCAAATGTGTGAGCAATACTCGAGGCTAGGCCTTATCTGGGCCTTGTATAGAGTGAGAAGGTACTGCAGAGAAAAGTACTTCTTAGCCCTAAACAAATAGCCTAGCTTTTTCCCAGCAGCTGCAGCTATTGAAGAGGTGTGTTCGTGCCAGATCAGGTCCTCGGTGATCTGGACTCCGACCAGCCGAAATGAATGGCTCTTTGGTAGAACTCCGCCGTCCATCGAAACTGTATGAGCGCTAGGACGCTTTTTGTTCGTCAAAGTACAGTACTGTGTTTTGGAAGCATTGAACTGTACAAGATTGTTGCGTCCCCAAGCAGTGATAGCCTCCAGGTCTCTTGTCAGAGAAGAAGCCGTCGCTGGTCTTCTTTTTTCCAGCTCAGCGGCAGAGTTCGGCTTGTCACTCTGAATTCCTGCATGTAGAGTGCTGTCATCAGCGAAGCTGTGGATTGGGTTGATCGTGCAGGAAAGGAGGTCGTTGATATGTAAGAGAAACAGTGTTGGAGCCAAGACCGATCCCTGGGGAACACCCGCGTTGACGTTGTGGGATGAAGAGGAGAATCCGTGAATTACGACGGATATCTTGCGGCCAGACATAAAGTCAGCCACCCATCTGCAAAGCTTTTCTGGGAGGCCATAGGATGGAAGTTTTCTTAAGAGAGCAGCGTGCCACAGCTGATCGAACGCTTTCGTGATGTCAAGAGCAACGACATGAGCCTCACCATGAGACTGGATGAGTTTACTCCACAGTTGCGTGACGTAAGCTAGGAGGTCCCCTGTGGATCGTTGGTGCCGGAAACCGTACTGCCTGTCGCTAATCAAGCTGTGACGTTCGAGGTAGTCCAGAAGCTCGCGATTTATGTACCTCTCCATCACTTTACTTATAACAGAAAGCAGAGCTATAGGCCTGTAGTTGTAAGGGTCGGTCTTAGATCCTTTTTTTGGGATAGGCTGTACATGAGCAAATTCCCAGTTTTCTGGGAAGGTGCCGGATTCATAAGATATCTGGAAGAGACTACCTAGTTTTTGTAGACAAAGGAACTTCACGTGTTATACTTGTAGACTTGTCACGTATTCCTGTTAAGGGGTGACAGATTAGGTCAAAAACAACCGATTTTGTCCTATCATGTCTTATCCAAAAGTTAACCATTTTTGAGTTATTTGAATTGTAAGTTTTTTATTTTTTATTCCGATTTCAGACGGTTAAAATTGAAATACAAAAAACTGCATGTTTGATTTTGAGTTTTTTGTCATCGTCGCATAGCAGACATTCCAATAGTTCATAATGAGTAGTAAAATGTTGAAAATCTACAAACGTTTTAAAATTACGTTTTTTAAATGTATCATTTTCTTTTTTTTACTAACTTATTCCATAAAAAATGCAATTTTCTGTAAAAAATCTAATAGAAATGATATGTGCAAATTATGTAAATAATATCTCTATCTAACAAGCTTTCATTTGAGGTATTAAGCGTTCAATTATCGGAAGTACATGCAGGGAAACAACAATGACACCCACAGAGGCTGGATTTTTAAGGAATTTGTATTACCCTGTTTGAACAAGTCCTTACTGTCCTCAAAGGACTCGCATGCCATGCTTGTTTTATGGCATCGGTTCGACGAGGAAGCGAGCGAGAAGAGCTGACTTAGTGGAAGAGTGAGAGCGAGAGAGAGCTGTTATTATACATCATTGTAGTTACGCCATCGCCGCACGCCGAGTGAGAATTAGGTTTAGTTGGTATCAACTACTTCGTACGCGCACACGTTTTACGCACGATTATTATTTTCGAGTTTCCCAGTTCATTTCGAGTGGTTTCTTTATCATCATGGCAAACGCAGAAGATCCGCCAGGACCTCGCCATAGCGAGCACTGGCAAACGTTTACAAATGAAGAATACGCAGACATAACGTTCTGTTATGGACGTTGTAACGGCGATTCTGCAGCTGCCCGCCGTGAATAGCGGCAACGTTTGACGAATCGCCGAACACCTCATGTTACTGTATTTGACTCTGTGTATCGGCGCATCCGCCAAACCGGACGTGTTCAAAGACAACATAGTGATGCTGGTCGACCCCGAGTCTATCCTCCTGAAGATGAAGAGGAAATCCTTCGTGTGTTTCCGGAAGACCCTACTACGACTACGCGCATTGTAGCTGCTCAGTTGGGTATATCACAATACATCGTATGGTTTACTGTGCATACTGCAAGAATATACCCTTATCACTACACGCCTGGGCATGTGATTGAAGAGGGCGATCCTGCAAGACGATTAGATTTCTGCAGGTACATGTTACATGCAGATACAGAAGAACCAGACTATTTTAAGAAAATTCTGTGGACCGATGAATCGAAGTTTGATAAGGACGGGGTCACTAACTACCATAATGCTCATTACTGGGCTGATAGAGAAGCTTTAAACCCCCGAAAAATAAGACCGACGGGGTCTCGGAGCCGGTTTTCAGTGAATGTGTGGACGGGCATCATTGATGGATATTTAATTGGACCTCATTTTCTGCCCGCCTATTTAAATGGAGAAGTGTATGAAGAGTTCTTGAAAAATCACTTGTTTCCATTAATAGAAGAAGTCCCATTGGCGACGAGACAAAATATGCGGTTCCAGCACGATGGCTGTCCCGCACACTACAGTAGATTAGTACGGGCGTATTTAGACTCTAAATTTCCAAATCAATGGATTGGCAGAGGCGGGCCCATTGCCTGGCCAGCAAGAAGTCCAGATCTCACACCGATGGATTACTATGTGAGGGGACATATGAAAAGCCTGGTGTACGATGTTTCGCCCGTACCAACGCACGATGAATTAATTACAAGGATAATCAGTGCAGCTGACCAAATAAAAAGCCGCTTAACAACTAGAGTTACCAAAAGTGAATTACGTAAGAGAATGCGGGCATGTATTCGTAACAGGGGATTACAATTTGAGCAGAATCGGTAAAATACTAAGAGAAATGTAATTAAATAAAACTGTAATTTAAATAAAAGCTTTTTATTTATCCTACGTAATTATCGTTCGTACAACTTTACTCATCTTTTTTTAATTTTATGTCTTTGTACTTGAGTTAGTTGTAACTTTTATACCTCAAATGAAAGCTTGTTAGATAGAGATATTATTTACATAATTTGCACATTTTATTACTAGGAGATTTTTTACAGAAAATTGTATTTTTATCGAATAAGTTAGTAAAAAAATAAGAAAATCATACATTTCAAAAGCGTAATTTTAAAACTTTTGTAAGTTTTCAACATTTTATTACTTATTATGAACTATTGGAATGTCCGCTATGCGACGATAACAAAAAACTCAAAATCAAACATGTAGTTTTTTTGTATTTCAAATTTAACCTGAAATCGGAATAAAAAAAAATAAAATTCAAATAACTCAAAAACGGTTAACTTCTGGATAGGACATTATAGGACAAAATCGGTTGCATTTAACCTAATCTATCATCCCTTAACAGGAATACGTGACATTACAAGTCACCCTGTATAAACCGTCAAAAATATTATCTGGGATTTGATTTAAAACAAAACATTTCTCGCATATCGTTAAGATACAAAATGGTCCAAGTCTCTTCTTTTTACATGGCTGTATCTTTCATCTGAGCAACTTTCCATTTTAGGTGAATATTTCAGGAAATGTACACGTGACAAATTCTCTGAATAACATCTCACTGTCGGATGCATTATCGAAAATTGTTATAATTGGAGAAGACACCAGTATTTCTGGCGTTGCTGTATTTACTCATCCAGTACTAATCAATGAAAGTCTCATAATAGAACGCAACTTAATCACCCATCAGTTGTCTGGATTTATTTTGGATGACTGGAGGGATAGAGCTATTCTGTTGAACAGAGGATATTTGCCAGGTCAGTTTTTTAGAAATAGTCTATCATACCACCTCGTCTGACTGCACTTATAAAATTAGCAATGTTTGAGGTTCTTTCTAGTAGGAATTCTGCTTCTTTTCAGGAAATTATGTTTTTGAAGAAGTCATTGTAAAGGATAACCTTATTACTAAGAAGGTAAACAACATGAGTATGGAGAAGATCATACCTTTGGTATCCAACCAAAGTATTGCCGAGTTGCATTTCGAAAACGTACTTCTAATCAATGATATAACTGCTGTGAATACTGTTAACGGTCGTAACTTATCCGAAGAATTTGCGAATAGCTTCATGGTAAGTATGATAAAAAATAATGACAGTGAACATCTTCATTTATGCTGCTATTAATGATCTCAATGACTGTATTTTGTTACAAAACTTATGCTAGAGCATGCATCTATCATCTGGTCTCTACCTATCAAAACTACAGAGCGAGCATTGAGTACGATCAGCGCAAGGCGCTCAAATATTTTTACTTGAAGTATCACGGTCTCTACCCTGAAAGAGGTTCTGGCCATTCGGCACTGTTCAGAATCTTTCAAGTTGAGCCGCTATTTATCGGTACTAAGATTTTTACATAAAGTACTGAACAATCAATTTGATTGCCCCTTAATATTAAGTAAAACTAATTTTCGCGTCCCTAGGTTAGGTTTGTTTTACCCTGACATTTGTAGTACAAACATCGTGTGTAAATCACTGTTAAATTGTTGTTCCGTTTGTGATATTTTTTGTGATCGAGAAAACTGTATTGGATTGTTACCGAGAATGGTACCTTGGTGTGATATAGAATCAATATAAAACTATTTCCACATTTCAAATACAGGCAAATTTGTATACATTTATTTGTACTTTTCTTTTTTTTATATTCCGCTGTTGTCAAATAATTGATTTGGTTTCGTTTTTGGTATATTTCCTGTAACTCGCCGTAACATGTTGGGAATTATAAATAAATGAATAAATAATTAAGTTATGACATTTTCAAGCCAGTACGATTTTCTTCACAATATTAGAAGGTGCGGGGCAGGTTCAATTCAACAATTTAAACATACTTTGTATACTTAAGGCATTTTTGAGAAATTTTCAGTTTAATAAAAATTGTATGTAGTGCGCCATCTTTTATGTCGGTATTAAAACGAATGACTTTGATATTTACCAACCGAGTGATTTGGTTATGTGTTTCTGAAACGTCAATTTACTACAATTTTAGTCATGAATCGCTTTACCTCGAAACAACGCGCCGAAATAGTCACAATGTTCATTGAAAATCGTCGTTCAGTTGTGTTAACGCAACGTGCATATCGATGAAAATATCGTGGCAAACAGGCACTGTCTTAGTACACTATCCGTCGTTTGGTTCCGAATTTTCTTGAGTACTGGACAGTGGAAGATCGTCTACATACCGTTCATCAACGACCAAGTCCAATGAATTGGTTGAAGAGGTCAGAGACAGCGCTGCCCAGAACCCAAAAGTCTCGTATCGTCACCGCGCTCAGCATTTTGGCATCAGTGGAACCACGTTGCGGCGCATTTTGAAGGATGATTTGTATTTGTTTCCTTATAAGGTGCAGTTAACACAAAATATATTGCCAACTGACCGTCCACGTCGCTTGGAAACGCCCAAACAGTCGCTCAAATGGTTGATGTTGAACCTGATTTTTGTTAGCAAATTGTGATGACCGACGAGGCCCATTTCACGCTCTCTGGCGGCGATAATAAACAAAACTGCCGCATTTGGAGGACGGAAAATCAACGTGACATCCACGAAATGACGTTGCATGACTAGAAAGTGAATGCTTGGGCCGGCGTTTGCGCCAAAACCATCATTGGGCCATTTTTCTTCAACGAAAACGAAACAGTCGATGGAAATCGATATCGGTGGATGTTGGCTCATCACGTGTGCCCACAAATGCGTAAAAAGGTCTTGATGGTTAGTTTCAACAAGACGGTGTGCCATGCCACACTGCAAATGAAACAATCCAGTTTCTGCAACGAAAATTCCCTCTGATGTCTGATGTCAAAAAGAGGTGACATTGACTGGCCACCCAGGTCTTCAGATTTGACCCCACGGTGGTTCTTCTTGTGGGGTTATTTGAAAAGTCTCAAGTGTACGCCAGCAAGCCTCAAACCACTGAAGAACTCGAGACAAACATTCGTGCCTCACTCGCGGCTATACCACCAGAGATGCTCAAAAAAGTGATGGAAAACTCAGCAAAACGGGCACATTTTGTTTTGGCCAATAAAGGTGGCGACTTGATAGATGTTGTGTTTAAAAACTAGTCCCAATAAATTGTAAAGGACCATATTTAATAAAAATACCCGATATATAGAAATCATTTTTTCGTTTTCAAAGTTATTTCATCTTTACATACCGACATACAAGATAGCGCACCCGTATAATATTTTTTTTTTTTTAGTTAGATGGAGATCAATATGTACCATCGATGATATTCGCGAACAACGTGCTAATTCGCAAAAACCTGAATACATCTTTACTAAACAACAAACCAGCCAAAAAAGTTGTCACTATAAATACCGATCAAGAACTGACAGCTAACTACGACTTCAAAGCCAAAATTACCATTCAAGGCGACCTCAACGTGCACGGTCTCCTCAACGGAATCGATACCAAAAAGTGGAGAGACAATCTGCTGAAAGTGTCTGGAGTAACGAAGCAGAAAATTAACAGGTCGTTAGATGTTACTGAGAACGTTACTTTCGAGGAAAATGTTGACGGTGATGGATTGATCGCAGGCTTGGACTTGGTAGAATTAGTTGAAAAGGTTGATGAGATCAAACTGAAGAAATTAGAAGTTGATCGTGGTGTGATCGTAAGTTGAACTGTCTTTATTCAGTTTTTGGTACAGTCAACAGTCTGAACCTGATATTCGTGGATCCTCATCTGACATTGCTAGTGCCCCAAACTGCACTGCAACAGGTGACGCTGTTTGTCACTCCTGTAGCGAGAGTGCCTTATGGTTTCACGACTCCCGTTAGTTTGATTAAAAATAATAATGAATAATAAATAAAGCTAGGAGTTTTTTGAAATCATAAAATCCTATTGCTACATTTGAGTGTCAGGTGTGGAGGGGTCACTTTTTTGTTTCCGTATATTCCCACAGCTATAATGTGTGAGTGTAGTTTATATGTCAACGTAGGTTATATGATTCACAAATTAACAACAAAATCATGATTTTGTCCAAGGTTCAAACTATTCTGACCAGAGAACCCTTAAGCCTTTTCAGAACCGGTGAAGTGCATATCAATTTATTCAAAAAAAATCTAATTTCCCCTTATAGGATGATTACAACAATATCTGCACGGACATCAAATACCTGAGTGGAATGACAGCTAGCCAAATCTATAAATTCAAATATTTTGAAATGTGGGAAGAAATGGTTTTCGGCTATTTCATCCGTCATACCTTCTACTTTGAATTCAACAACAGCAGATACCTGCTAGTAAATGAAGACAACTGCAAATCACACATATTCGTTTTCGGAAACGATGTATTCGTACCAGTCACAACTACTGAGACTGGTGATATATCACAAACTATAGCTGTTCGAGATGGTGATAAGGCGTTATATCTTATTACAAACAACCAGAAGCCAAACAAACCTGGAAAATGCTCTAATAGTGGCACGAATGCTTGGGTGTTTGAAGACAGAAAGCTAGAGGTGAGGAAACTATATATTTACCATTAATATCAAGTTTTCTTTGGTATTGTCGGTGAAACTCTTAGGACCGTATCGTCAATTTGTCCCTACAACTGTAGGATGCCTTTATGTCGTCCTTGATTTTCATAGTTTTTCCTGTCCTTCAGAAAGGCAGGGGTATTTCTAGATTTCTATTGTTTCGTGTCAGCGCTCTATTTTGAGGTTATAGTTTCTTTCTGAATCCCAAGAAATTTCAGGCTAATAATTCTTGATATTTATCATCTCTAAAACATAGCCTCACGATAGGGAACGCTGAAGCTGACACGGAACAGTAAAAATCTAGAAATACCCAAGCCTTTCTGAAGGAGAGAAAATATTATGAAAATCAAGGAGGCCATAAATGCTTCCTATAACTTTAGGAATGACTGACGATATGGCGCTAAATATTAGTTGTGGTCATTTTACACACAATGTCAGATACGCTCACTTGTTTTCAGTTTCCTCAGTTTATTGCACGTTCTCTTTACTAAAACTGAGCTTAGCCAACCTCAGCTGAATAACACTTGTCTCACTTGCGGCTTTTAGGTTAGGTTTATTTTGTTTTTACGTACAAGATCAACCGAATACATATTGTTAGAGTTTTTACTTGGCTTACATTTAGATTCCTGCGGCGATGACCGCAAACTGCAAAAATATTTAGGTTTGAATATAGCTCCATGATAAATTATAAAAAGGCCTTTTTTAACTCAGCTGTACTTTTTGAACTCTGAAGCGAGCCAGATATTCACTGATTTAATAGCCTCATCTTTGTTTGAACTATCTAACTCCACTTGCCAAACGAACGTACCAGATTTTTGAACCGGATTCCAGATGACAAAAACAACGCTTTATCAGAGAAGCAATCTACTATTTTCGTAAAAAAAAATAGTTGTCCAATGGACTAATAAGAATCTAACCTGTTTCAGTTAATGTTCAAAATGGAAGACATGCTACTTCTGCAAGACTCTCTGATACCGAACACATTTTATGGATTGGATCAAAATGGAGTATCAGAGCTCGTCATTCGTCCATCTTTGAGAAGTTATCTTCCAGTTCGGAAATGGATCTTCTCAAGCGGTAAGTTAAGACCTTCTTCTTAACTCGCCTTTACAGACGAAGACTAGCTGATAACCATTATGTTAAACTGCATCCAGCAATAGTTGAGTTTTTTGGGAAGGTTAATTATAATACACAGTTAATCTTGGAGAAAGTATTGCTACGAAATGTAAACAATTATAGTGGCTGCTGTGTGGTATGGATCATTACAGTGTAATATTCCAACTACCTTCGGATGTAGTGCTGTGCAAGCTATCAGATCCTCAAAAAGTGTTTCCGATTTCAGCAAATGAAATCGTTCCCTGAATATCAGGGTTTTTATTATACAACGCAACGTTGGGGTTTTCCTTTTCAGACACAACTACGCTTGATATAACCAAGCTAATAATGTGTGGTGAAACGTGAGCGAACAAATAAAAAAAATAAATGAAAAGGTACTCACTGTTCAGTTAAATTGAAATTCCAAGTACGGCTCTGTCGTAAAATCCGTATTTACATCGTAGTCGTACGTCGTATAACTATACGCTGGCGCTGGCGCTGTGGACGTGATCGAGAGATAAGACAGGACCGGGTTCGGTTTGGTTCAAGATTGAATAAGTTTGCGGAGCCCAGTATCTCGGTTCTCTTAAGACATTGGTGTATATGATACTAGGAAAATCTGCTTATTTTCTCAAGATCTACACGTCGTCTAAAGGAAAACCCCAACTTTGCGGACACGCTGCATATAAGATTACAATATGCACTAGGAAAACTGACAGAACACGTGCTTTTAGAAAATGCCAAGTTTCTGCCTAGAGGGATGCAGACGGGTTTGACACTGTACAATGAAAAGAAATTAATCCAATTGAACAGAATAAACACCCCACAGGAAATGAGTGATGATAATGATCTGCAGACAGTACTGCGAGGTAAATCAACCAAATAAATTCAAATGATTCAGAACTTATTTTATCGTTGCTCATACACTTACAGGTACTCTCCATGAAATTCCGAACAAGCTTACGACCAAACAAATGAATGGCACCGTGATTGTTACTACAGTAGGTACCAGGGCCTCCAAAGAGACCTTATTGGTAACAACAGAAAAGGATGACAGAGGAACAGATTTCATAAATGTAATTTATTTTTATTTTTCCTTCAGGTTATGCAATGTCCTTTGTTTTAGGTATTCTCCAATCCCATCGAAGGAGATCTCTTCCAAAGAATACCAGTTAATAAGCCTTCATCGATATTGTCTTTAGATTTTGGACAAGGGCAGACCTTATTGGTAGTTTTGGAAGATGAAGGAGTTTTGAAAGTTTACGAATACAAAGGTAGATAGTTCCTCCCTACTATTTTTTGAAGTGAAGTACTCGAATACATCACAAAATGAAAAGCTGTTACGTTGATTATTCGAGTCATCTTGCAATGCATTAGTTTGCTTATGAAGCAAGACAATGTAGCCTAGTCATATTAGCAAATTTCCCCGAAATAATTCTAAAGTCTGGTTTTATTGGTGCAAGTTCTTTAAGAGGGTATTCAAAACATGGGCGCATAAAATGGGTACACCAATTTTTGTGGGAAAACTTTTTATTTGACAACAAAGAATTTAGGATTCAATGGAAAGTGTTGACAGGAACGAAAAAACTTTTCATATAAGTTTTGAGTCCACACGTGAATAGATCCGACTAATAGGAAAAATGTTATGGCCGAAAAACGAGGCAAAATGCAGGTTTGGTACTTGAAATTTTTTAAATACGTAGGATTCATACTTTTAAATAACAACAGCAAAATTGGAGCATATTGGTCAACTACTTTTTTGAGAATTTCTAATTGCTTATCCCAAAACACCAGTTTTCCTGCTACCACTACTAATTTATTGAGCAATATACAGGGTTCGTCCAAAGAGCATTTAATAGCAAAATACACGTGTTTACCTTGCCGATATGAATCATAAACCATTCCGGAGGATAAGTGTTATTTAATAACAAAGGTTAGGTCTTTTTTCTTTAAAAGAAATTAAAAAATTTCGTATTTGTGAGTAATTGAACAAATGCGCTACGATATTCGAAAAACATACTTTACTATACACATTTTAAAATAAAGCGTCTATCATCTTTTGTTGCGAATCACTCAAAAATATGAAATGTTTGAATTTGTTCAGAAGAAAAAACGTAACCGATTCCAATTTTCCGGAATGGTTTACGATTCATATCGGTAATGTAAACTAGTGTAGTTTGCTATACTTTGAACTAACCCTGTATATTGCTCAATAAACTAGTAGTGATGGCCGAAAGACAGGTGTTTTGGGATAAACAATTATAAATTCTCAAAAACTACTTGCCCAATCTACTCCAATTTTGTTGTGGTTAAGTAGAAGTACGTATCCTACGAATTTGAAGAATTTCAAATATCTGCGAGAAACCGTCGACGCATTACCGACAAGTGCTAAAACCCAGTTTGCCTCGATTTTCGGCCATAACTTGTTTGCTATTAGTCAGATCTTTTTACGTGTGCTCTCATTTTGTAGGTCTCATAAACACTTGCGATTCAATCCCAAAAAACACGTTATCTCATTCTTTGTTGTAGAATAAAAAGTTTTCCCTCATGTTGGTGTAACCATTTTATCCGTCCATGTTTTGAATACGCCCTCGAACGACTTGCAGCAATAAAACCAGACTTTACAATTATTTCGCAAACTAGGGGTATTTTCGTCTAATATGATTAGACTAATAGTGGTAGTTGTCGTGGTGGTCAGTGGGTAGGCGAAACTAGGTCACGTTTGACCCTTCTTGCCGACCCATTATACCAATACTTTACTTCTCCACATGTTTATGTACTGATTATTTATTGAATAACCCAGCATATTTTATCTGCTGATGTGCTAGTGGCCGACAGCGTAACACACCGGGCTACCCAGCCCCTAAAGTAAAGACATTGTATTATACTTTTCTAAAATGTGTTCAGTTCTGGCAGGGGCATGGAAAACCAAATACAAGAATTGATATTTGACTTTTTTGAATTAGCAAAATCCCTCATTATTCTGTGAAACATCTTCGTCGTGATATTTTTAAGTGAGTTTGTGAACGTTGGACACCATTTCACCAGTTTCTCCGCATGGTGAAGTTAAGAAAACATTTATTTATTTATCTAAACACGTATTTTTCAGGTATCGAAGGCTTCAAGTTGAGTAACTCGGCAGAAGTATCAGGTTCTCAGCTATTTTCGATGTCATTGCCTTTATCACCACAGAGAAAAACTACGAAAGTTATTGGCGTGGTTGATGGGAATAAAATAAAAATTATTCGATCTGTGATGGTCGGCGCCCGATATATCGATGAGGAGAAATGCCACTTGAATTTGTGATTGTCCTTTGTGTACTTTTGTCTGATTACATACGTGTTAATAAACATATATGTATATTCATTGAGTACTTATTGAAACTATTTATTATATATTAAAATGTATCATTAAAGGAAATTGTGAAACTAGTCATATGTGTTTTGCTTCACCGAAATTTCATAATCGGCCAAATTAAAAAAGTAAAGAATAACAAACAAAGAAGGTTTATTTGTTGATTTTCATCAACGCTTATTGTTATGAAGAAAACTTGCTGCGATAAAAGCTGAAGATGCATTCGTCGACAGCTGGTTCTCCTGTCAACGTCACTGTTTTCATGAACTCTTTAAAAGCGTTTGAGTCATTCTCTTCGAAATACTGTTCATGTTCACCATTTGCTTCAGTACCTGATTGAGATAAAAGAGTTGTTTAAAAAGTTGTGTACTTAGGGATTCCACTTCAGCATGCAAAATAAACGTGATGGTTGTAATTTACACTTTTAACACACGAATAATCCCTATATCACAAGCCGCTCAAGCCAAGTAGCTGACGTAGTCAAAACAAATGAATATGCACTTCAAGGTTCAAAATGAATGTACATGGTTATCCAAAAAGACACGGCAATATTTCTAGAGTAAAAAGTAGATTAAAAAGTATCAGGGAGCATGGGTCCTGAAATGTCCCTTACCGAGGTACAGGATATTGAAGTTGTAATTTCAAAATATTTGAAAAAAACATAAGTGTAAGTATTCGAAATGAACTGCGATGTTAAATCGAAATTTTGTGAATAAAGTACTTACAGTATATCCAATATACACAAAGAATGTGTCTGAAACTACACCAGGGGCGTATGAATTGTAAATTATTGACCCGCCACAGAACGAGAATCCAGGTTATACTCTACGCCACTGACCTTTTTTATGCACTTATTACATTTTTAAGTTTACAAGTAGTATTCTTCTTGCAATATATTACATTTTTACATGGCTCGTCCTATTTGAGCAGTTTTTATTAGACTAGTTTTGGAGAAGCATTGGTTTGAATATTTAAGGTAAAATCCGCGTAAAAAACTAGATCTATTTTTGGAAATATGCTTAAGTTAGTGAAGTTTGACATCGTAAATTGTTTGTAGTATATTAAGAGAATAATCATATGCCACCTTAGTGCTATTTAAACAATATTCATGTGTTTTCCTTATTCAGTATCATCAGTAGCGTAGAGTTACAGCTCTTTATATCTTAGTGGTTGGACATCTTTATGAGAACCTATTTTATATTTGTTCTTACTACCCTAAAAATATTGACACATTTTTTTAATCACTCTGTAGAGAATCAATGCTTATCATGATTACTACCCTATGCGCAATATTTTTGGGATGATAAGATGGAAATTATAAAAAAGTGCTTCAGGTGTCTAAGTCTCATAACTTCATCTTTTTCAGGTTTCAACTTCCAAACAAGTTGTATGTAATCGCACAAAACTGACTTTCGGTGATGAAGATTAGAGTACTTTGATATTACTCGTTTTAATTTCATTCATAATAATACCCCTAAAGATGGAATTTCCGCTCTTAGGATTTACTTTTTGACCTTACCTTTTCCGGAAGTTACTGCGGCTGTGTCAGGACATTCTGCTTCATCACACCTGCAAGTAGTACTTTTGCTACAATTTGGTTGTTCTCCTTCACAAACATTCTTTGAAGGTATCTCTTCACAGATGGTGGGCTCCTCACAAACATACTCATTACTAGCCTCTCTATTTGATCGTGCACAATGCTCATAATTTGTTTGTGGACACTCACATCCTATTTTGCGGGTACGAAGTTCATCCTGTACATGATGTAGGCTGTCCGTCTTACGCTTTTGTTGTTCTTCCACACACACATACATCGAATGAGCTTCATTACAGAGAGAAGCATGTTGTATACTATCCTTTGTGTTGAATCTCCCTCTATGCTCATCACCCCTATATGGACAGCTACAGCCTGTCTGACATGCTAGGTGTTCATTCTCTCGCATACGATAAGAGGTACAGATTTTACAACACTGCTGTTCTTCTCCACAAACATGATTACAAATATAATCTTCACAGACAGTAGGTTGAACATATATATGGTGCATTTTACCTTTTTTTGTAGGTGATGCTTCATATTTTGTTTGTGAACAGTTACATCCTATTTTACTGGTCTCATGGTCATCTCCTATATAACATAATCCACGGCTGACATCTTCCGGAGGACTTAAATTGGTGGAAAAGCTACTGCTGATAGAATCTATCACATTCGGCTTGAAATTATCGTTAGGCTTTTTTGGGCGACAAACTTCCACATATGGTGACATGTAACTTTTTTCCGGACAAAAATACTCTTTCATATGAGTAAATTTATCAGTCATCATGTTTGATTTTCCATAACAGCCACACTGTTGGTCGGTCTTCATCTCGTAAAGGTTCTCTTGACCAGTGTGAATTGACTTCTTCTGGGGATTTGTTTTTTGAAAATATTTGTTTAACCACAAACGATATTGTTGTATAACTTTGGCTTCTTTTTGTTCTAAGTTAGCGTGAAGGTAGTTTGTCTCATTCTTTATGTCTCTCAAATTCTGGAGCATACTTTTGTAAATATTCTGTTGGTCTTCCAATTCTTTGATCAAATATGGTTTCTCGGTACTACAGCATCTCTCCAGTTTTGCTCTTATGTACAAAATGTTAGTTTGACATTGGCTTATTGCATCAGAGCATACTTTAGCCATTTGTAGTTTGCTTTCTAATGCATTTTTGCAGTAATCTATATCTGTAGATTGGTCTGAACAGGATATAAACTGTCTGAATAATTTCATATCTAGGTCCTTGATATTTTCTATTCCATAACTCAAAATATTCTTGTCCATAAGTTTTTCATCGCAATAATTAAAATTTTGTATATTTGGAACATCGATAAAATTGTTGGCAGTTTTTTCGACCTTGATATCCAGAGGATTGTCGTTATTCCCTCTCCTAAGACGATTTGGATTTACAGGCTGTTCTGGAATGTTATCAATGATTTTCTTCAACGAAGCTGTTAGTTGTCAAGGAATTTATATGCCAAGTTGAAGATACAAGCCGAAAAATAAGTAAAACAACAGGTGATAAAAATGTCGCTAGCTACTGGACCTGGAGTCATCTGTCTTCGCTTTAGCTCTTATTGAAACCTGCTTCAACGTATTTTAGCCAAAAAAATTAATGAATGATATTAAACTTGCACATTCTACTTCCAACAGACGATAACTCAGTTTAGTGTATCTATGATACCTTTAAGCCTAACAGCGGATCATCTAAGATGTCCATGGTGGTGATATCTTAAAATTACGTGATCAATCCATTCGAAAATCGCAAATCATTTTTATCTAAACGAGGATTAAAACTTCCTACCTTCCTTGGTAGCAGGCGAGAGTTGCCAAGAAAATATCTCAACCTTAGCGTTTTTTACCTTTTCATTATAGTCCTTGTGCTAGTTCTGTTCGCAACTTATCCGAGGGCCGGTTTTGAGTCCAACAATCATTCACCAATGATAAGCACTAGTATAGCAAAATTTAAGCGAGGTGGTTCCGAATTCATAGTCAGGGAGGGGGAGGGTACTGGCGATTGATAATTGGGTGCTCTTCAATTCAATTAGAAAAATCGTTGAATTTGTATTTCATTTTATTTATTTTGACACATGACACATTAGGTGTCCCTATATTTATTTGATCTAGACAGCGCGCGACTGACAATGGGTATATTAAAATTTTATAAAATAAAAATAGCGGATTTTGGCACAAACGGTTTGATTGATTTTTACATTTAATATGGTCTTAGATCCATCTCCATCAAAATTGATTCTTCATTCCTTTCGGTTACTGCAGTCAGATTGTTTGTATTTTTCAAAAATGTACATGACTCTGGCTTTATGCACCTAAGCGTCTGGGGGAGGCGGCACATCAACACAATTCAGATGAAATTTAATTTTGGCGGATGCTTTGAAGACCAAAAAACACACACGCTACTCTAACCCTAAAGGTATATTTTGCTTCTCAAGCGTAAGCCAGGGGGGCAATGCCTCCCATACTCCTCCTAATGCCCTGCTCACAGACTATATAAAATAATTTCAAAGTGAAACGTGAGTATTTTCACTTAACCCGTAACCGGTGAGGTGCCACTTTTGTCACGTTGAGCGTGATGTGGAGTCTCCCGAGAATTTTTTTAAAATACGAATTAGTACCTGTTTTATTTCAATTTCATGGTATAGTCTGGAGTCTATTTATAGTATGTATTTATGTTTGGTTGGTTATAAATTTTATTATAAACATCAAATTTGATGATTATCGGTAGCCTTCTTCATATCTTCTTCTGTTGGGCCGCTGTATTTTTGACGCATTTGTTCCAATTTTTTGTTCGTAGAATTTACGGTAATGGCTATTATTTTTTCAATGAACAAAGTGCTCAAAATTTTAACTGAATTTGCTTCATGTCCTGAATTTAGAGCTTCGTCTTTCAGACAAAGTAGCGTAAGAATTATATTATGGTTGGCTGTACGCACATTTCTTGTTGATTCCATACAAGACCATTTATGTTTTTTTTTTTCATAAAAGTGTGTTCTTTCTGTAGTCGAATCGTTAAAGCTATTTTCACTTGAAAATGACGTTATATCATTGTCGAGCAGAAATTGTTCATCATCATCCGGAGTCTGCTCGCAGTCGCTGTCGTGGTCACTCACAATTTCACTGCTATACCATCGTGAGCGTACTCTCATAGTCTACACCGTTTATTGTAACAGTCCCTTTTAATGTACTGGCGCGTAGTTCCTTCTAAAATACCATATATGTAAAAACCAACATTAAAATTAACAACCACAAAAACTTACGATAAGAGTGAGACTCCCTGACGTATAAAAACACAAGCACACAAACACATGTTTCAGATAGATCTGCAACCACCGTGGCAAACGACTCACATATCCAAACTAAAGGTAAATAGGCGTACATTGTTGTCACTTGATACAAAAAGTAGTTATAACGAAAAAAATATCTGCCAGAGTCTGATAGACTCAACCTCACCAGTTACGGGTTAAGTACGACGTATCATGAAGCTCTACCATCTCAAACCATTTAATTTACACTACGAGGTTTGTTCAAAAAGTATCGCAATTTTTTTTTTTCGCGGGATACGTATGTTCGATTTTCGATCTTTTTGTGGCGTTATGTTGGTACTCATGACCCTTACTAATTGTGATAATATCAGCCATTTTGAATGTTCAGTCAGTTTTTGACAGCAATTGTCCATGGACGTGTTTTAGCTTGTCTCCGATTTTTGTCTATTCCAAAAAATGGATCAAAGAATTTGTATTAAATTTTGTGTAAAAAACAACTTGAAGTGCGCGGACATATTCCAAATGTTGACTGTTGCATACGGTAAAGTTATTTTGGACAAAAGCAATGTTTATCGGTGGTACAAAATGTTCTCAGAGGGCCGAGAAGATGTGACCCCGAGAACGTCAACAACAGACAAAAACATTGATGAGTTCTTGCCAAAGAGAGAATGGTCAATTAGGAATATTACCTTCAAGTAATGCTCAATTTGAGAAAAGCAATCCGCCAGAAACGCCCGGATCTGTGGAAAAACAAAAATTGGCTTTTGCACCATGATAACGCCTCTGCTCAAGCATCGTTACTTGTGCGCGAATTTTTGGCCAAAAACAATACTCCAACAATGCCTTACCCATCGTATTCCCATGATCTGGCCCCCCGTGACTTTTTCTTGTTTCCGAAACTGAAGAGGCCCATGAAAGGACGACGCTACGTCACGATTGAGGAGATAAGGACGGCATCGAAGGAGGAGCTGAACCAGATCACTAAAAATGATTTTTCAAAATGCTTCAAGGACTGGAAAAAACGTTATCACAAGTGTATAATGTCTGATGGGGATTACTTTGAAGGGGACAAAATAGATATTCATGATTAAATAAATAATTCTTGAAAAAACATGAACTTCGCAATGGTAGATGCATGGAAAATATCAGCGATACTAGTGCCTTCTTGATAACAGAACGTATATCGCTGATACCAAAAATGCAACATTTACAACCGTTCACCCTCTACAACCTCAAACCCCAAACTTTCAATGGCTTGAATCTCTGAAACATTGATAAGCGATGTTTTAACGATTGTCGTTTTTTCCGTAGCTTCGCCGCCACTTCATGACCTACAAAGATTTTTCGTTATTTGAAAAGTAGTCACTTTATAAGATGCAACATCTACAGCCCCTACCGCCTAAAATTTTCAACCCGCAATTCCCACACCTACAAAAAATGGAAATGGAAATGATTGGGAGCCTCTAGCATGTCAAAAGACGAGGTTTGGCTTATTTTTTTCCATTTTTTGCCCGTAGCACCGCGGACGCTTGGTGGATTCACAAAATCTACAACGCTTTTTCGCCCTTAGCATAGCACTAACCTTATGTTAAAATTTCATCAAAACCCGGGATCAATAATTAGAGAACAGAAAGACAGACAAACAGATCGACGGAAATGATCGACGTGGTGTTTCGTGATATGTAACATCTAAAATGCATGATATCTCATTTTCGTTTTTTTCCCGATTACTCGTACTTCCTACGCCTCACTATTGGCGTAAGAAGTGAAAGCCCGACTCCATCCTACACACACTCATAGCTCCGATAACATCGTAGTTATCCGAGTCATCCATTCTGGAATCTGGATACGGGATACAAAGGTCAATATCACAAAAGGATACCAATTTCGTCATCTTTTTTCGCCAAAGTATTTTGCAGTTCTAGTATTTTAAAATTAATTCCATCTTTGTCGTGCTCCTTTTCCAATGTAATCTTGTTTCGAAGAATATCAAAGCAGTACTTTATCTTCAAAATATTGTTTCCTACCTCAATATTACCATCTTTCAAAAACTTCTCTACTTGCAAACTACAAATTTCTTTATCACTAGAGCTCAGAGAACTATTTTCCTGAAAATACAAAAATTGTAGGAGGATTCTAACATGACAACTAAACATGACGCTAAAACTGTGGAAAAATGAGAATAAAAAGTTCGATGTATGACGTTTCTTAAAGTCCAATATATTACAGATTTGAGCAATACTTGCTTGCACGTTAGAAGCACGTAGTTGGTCTTCTAGTTGTGCGATTCTTCTTCTTAAACATATGATCTCTTGTTGGGGATCACTAATTTCGTTAATGATAGCGTCCGTTTTGAGAAGAGACACCCTGTATGCGTATTTACATGTACTGATGGTTTCCTAAAAATCCTGTTATCAATATGTGAGCCATTTATTTTTTACAAGAGACTGGTATACAAACAGACAGTCTACTTGTTGACCTACATCAATATTTTTTTTCGAAACAGCAAGATTAGCTATCATGGTGGACAAACAATTGCCATTCAGAGAATCTTTGAGCAAATAAGTTATGGTGCTATTTCTGTATGGAATATGAGATCTTCGATGTTCAGAAAGTGCAACAATAACCTGTTGCAAATAATGCAAGGACAAATTGATATGCTTAGCCTCAGCCAAAGCTCTTCCTGTTGTTAGAGACTTGCTCACACGTTCAGATCTGGAAAAGATGACCTTTAGTTTGCCTGCAAGACAGTTAGGTACTACATTTGATGTCTATCGATATAAGACAGCAACAAGCGCCATATATTACCATGATAGACCACTACAAGATAGTATAGCAGCTATCGGTTGCAGCTGTAAAGACCTCAGTTCGCGTTTGACAGCCCAATCACCACTGTATTCGCTAGAGGCTGACGATTGTGGCGATATGTGGTCTACTCGATATTGATCAAACTAAACATATTCTTTTTGTTCTTCAGGCCTCAAACAGCCAACCATAGCTGCTTCGTGATTTTTGGCCCAGGGACCACGCTTGACCATGCAGATGAGTTACCAAAAAGCTCGAAACAGCCGTCTGTGGTGTAACGGATGAGAGCAGCATGTTTAGTTTACTTTTGACGCCCTAGGACTTATTCACACTATAGGCGTTGTTGTTAATGCCTCTGTAGGTGGTAAACAGCCTCTGTCAAACAAGATGGTAGCACTCCATGGATTTTGAGGCTAAGGACCAAAATCTGTCTCCTGTATCTCCTATACTCTCACTGTGTCCACCGATACTTTATGTTGGTTGAGGTACAAAAGATATATATATATATATATATATATATATATATATATATATATATATGGCATATCTTTCTCAAAGAAGTTACTAAAATTGCACGCTATGTCATAATAAAATAACTGATTAATCTGCTTTCGTCGACCAACCATATAAAACTGTTTCAAACAAGATGGTAGCACTCCATGGATTTTGAGGCTAAGGACCAAAATCTGTCTCCTGTATCTCCTATACTCTCACTGTGTCCACCGATACTTTATGTTGGTTGAGGTACAAAAGCATTAAGATAAGCGACAAATTGTTAAACTGGACATACTCGCAACTAGAAGGCTTTGGAAAACAATGATAAAATCAAATAATGTCAAACATTAGTGTAAATACTTGTTTATAAGCTTTATTGTGTCATTAATTTAAAGAAAAATGTTCTCCCATGAAGAAAAGTGTGATATGTTAGAATGCTATTTAGTGTGCAGAAAATCCTCCTTGAGAGCAAGAGAATAAATACTACAGTGAATTATATCCCGCTCGCATTCAACCGTATGAACGATATTTTCTGAGACTTTATCGAAAATTTAGGGGCAACGAAAATGTTTTTGCTAAAACAAGGGCAAAAAAAGAATTCATAATAAGCGAAGCCACGGAAATTGCAGTTATTGGATATTTTGAAGCTCATCGTGAGAATTCAATAGCAGATATTCTCAAGGACTCTAATTTCAGTTATGGTACTGTTCAAAGGATTTTAAAAAAATACAAATTTATTCCGTATAAGTACCGACCAGTTCAAACGCTTTTGGCAGGGGATCCAGAGAGAAGACTTGTTTTTTGCCATTGGTATCTTAGCTTCTGTCGCCAAAATGTAAATAACTTTCGTTACCTTTTATGGACAGATGAATCAAATTTTTCAAATTCTGGAATGTTTAATAGAAAAAACCACCATTATTGGTCAAGAGAAAATCTTTTATTAGTACATCCAAGAGGCCCACAAGTCCGTTTCAGTTTCAACGTTTGGTGCGGTATAATTGGTTCAAAAATTGTTGGCCCGTTCTTTTATGAGGGAACCCTAACTGGTGAAAGATATGTGGAATTTATGTCAGAAATTCTGACTAATTTCTTAGACGAATTGGATCTTATAAGTAGACATCATCTGCATTTTCAGCAAGATGGCGCACCTGCCCACAACTCCAGAGGTACTTATCATTTTCTAAGTACTACTTTTAATGATCAGTGGTTAGGAATAAATGGCCCAATACAGTGGCCTCCCAGATCACCAGATCTAAACCCACTTGATTACTTCTTGTGGGGTTACTTAAAGAACCAAATTTACAAGCGAAGGTACGATAACCTTGACGCGTTAAAGACTGCAGTTAGGGAAAAGATAACCCAGATAGATGGTAGGACCATACTTAAGACAGTTCGAGCAGTTGAAAAACGTGCCCAAAAATGTATTGAAGAACAAGGTGGTGTTTTCGAGCATCTTCTTTAAAAAAAATTGTTATTGTATTTTGTAAGATTATAAGTTGATGTTGAAAATAAAGTTTGTCGATACAATTTAATTGTTTCAGATTGGAGGCCATAACTTCAACAATTTGTAACCTAGGAGAAAAGTTATTGTAAGCTTTTTTGTTTAAAATTTGATGCTTTAACAGAAAAAAATATAATATACAGGGGTTTCCATTTAAAAAAATGTTATTTTACTGAAAAAAATCAAAATAACGACTCTCAATTGTTTTTTTTTTATTTCTCATTTTTACCAGCGTTAAAAATGCTACTAGTTTGCTAATTCAAACAACTTTGTATTTTCACTAATAACAAAGTTACTAATGGTGGACACTTAATTTGGATAACCCTGTATATATATATGGCATATCTTTCTCAAAGAAGTTACTAAAATTGCACGCTATGTCATAATAAAATAACTGATTAATCTGCTTTCGTCGACCAACCATATAAAACTGTTTCATCCTCATTGGTAATCATCAGCACGATCTAGGCTGGGTCTCTATGTTGGTGGCACTTTGTGCTGCAGTATTTCAATATGTCCTCGAATATGAATATCATACCCAGCTAAGTCAACAATTCGTAGTTTTGAATATCTCAAGCATTCTGTAGAACCATGTCCTTGTGTGATATGAATTGTAAATATGCAGTGAGATCGGGAAGAACACTCATTCATTGAGGTTTCTGCTATTGTCCTAAAATTTAAGTCGATAAGTTACTTCTCGTATTATGTATATCAAGAATTGTTAAAACCTATTTGTATCTCCCAAAAATAATAACTTCATGGCTTCTTCTTCAGTAGCAACTGCGATAACACTCAGATTTCGTATATGAGATTCCCCTCTTCTGTCCTCCATTATTATAATTCTCCTGCAAGGACATCATAGTGAATAGTAGTAGCCTTTTTAAATGACCCCGAGAGCAATGATTGGGTACATACTATTCATCCACCACTATTTGAAATTTATTCACTTACACCATTCTTTGAAATATATAGGTGTGCCAAGCGCATTCACCATTATTTTAAATAATCTGCTGAAAAAATATACTGCCGCTCGCGGTCCAACAAGTTTTACGCTTTCACATAAAGGCACCTCTTGCCAATAGATGGCCTTCCCTGTTGCCCCGAGAAAAATCCTTTAAGCACGGATTACACGAGGCTACTTTTTCAAGCTAGGATAGCAAGCTAGTGCTTTTAAACTAGCAAGCTAGTAGTACTAACTTCATGTATACAGAACTAGCTTCACGTATAGGATAGTAAGGAAGTCAGAAAGACAGTAAGCCAGCGTCTAAAGCTGGATAGTTTTAATAGCATGGAGGTCTATTTTGTTAAGCTAGCAGCGTCCCCCTCCAATAATTTTACTACCATGGCTTGTGTACCACCCTCGTCTGGCCGGCAAAGCTAGTGTTTTCGAACGGCAAGTGCGTAGTGTCGACCTGTTTTACTTTTTCAAGGAGATAACCACGTGCTTCTAAAACAATGATTAACATGCCAAAATTAAGTGCCGAGATTAATTTAAAGTTTGTACAAATGTATCGTGAGGAAGAATGTCTGTGGAACGCCACTATTCCATCATATAATAATAATAATAATAATAATAATAATAATAATAATAATAATAATAATAATAATAATAATAATAATAATAATAATAATAATAATAATATATTTATTGCCCAACAGATACATCCATTTAAAGGACAATGTAATTGAATACAGTTTGATGTAACAATATTTTCAACTACATTCATATACAATCGTAGCTCACCCATTTTATGAAAAAAAAATGAATAGTTACACCTACTCACCTACATGTCTTAAATGTTATAAATTGAATAATAGTAGTCGCTGAATACAGCTAATATATCTTTGATTTTATCATGATGGAGGTCACAATTATCAGCTATGGCGTTAAAGCTGGAGCACATAAAGTACACGGGTGACTTAATGATAGCATTAGAATTTGGTGTTTTTAAGTAAAAAGCGAGAAATCTTCGGGAGATGCGGGACGGTACATGAAAATCAATTTTAGCTAATAAAGGTGAAGAATCAACATCACTGTGTACGAGTTTGTAAACTCTACTCAGCTCAAGAGGATGCATTTCAAATCTGAGCAACATTGCTGATTGGGGAGTCCCACGATTGGGATAAACACCATCTAATTCGAAAGTCAAGTATTTAAGAAATCTCCTCTGTACACTTTCAATTTCATTAATATAGATTTGGTAATATGGGTGCCATAGACTAGATGCATATTCCAGCTTAGAACGCACCAAGGTGCAGTATAAAGCCTTCAGTGTCGTTTCACAACCAAACGATTTACAGTTTCTTACCAAAAAGCCGAGACTTTTTATAGCGGACGATACTATTGTACTAATATGACCTGTAAATAATAATTTAACATCAAACAACACACCTAGATATCTTACTTCTGAACAACGCATCAAACTGACACCTTCTAGTGTGTAATCAAAAACTATTGGATTCGTTTTCCTGGTAAAAGAACAGGTTTTGCATTTGCTAACATTCAAAAATAATTTATTAGTAGAACACCATTCAAATATATGATTCACTTCAGCTTGCAAGATTAGACAGTCATCAATGCTGTTAATCTGAGCATATATTTTTAAATCATCGGCAAACAACAGAGAAGGGCAGGTTAAGCAGTTAGGGAGGTCATTGATAAAATAAAGAAAGAGAAGAGGACCCTGCGGTACACCGGATGCGGCCGAGTAAGGTGAAGATTTGAAACCATGGTAAGTAACGTACTGACTTCTATCATGCAAGTAAGAAGAAATGAAATCTAATAAATGATTGCTAAAGCCAAAATGCTGAAGTTTACCTATGATTCTTTGGTGACTTATCTTATCGAAGGCCTTTGAGAAATCCGTATAGACCACATCCATCTGACCCCTGTTATCTAAGACCTCTGCAATTTCCTGGGTGATTTCAGTTAAGTTAGAAATAGTAGAGCGATTGCGCATAAATCCATGTTGCGTCTCAGATATCAGATGCGAGGTCAAAGGATAGATGTAGTTGTATACAGATATCTCAAATGCCTTACCAAAATTATCCAATATAGATATAGCTCGGTAATTTTCGATTTGACTAGGGTCCCCAGCTTTAAAGATAGGGCACACTCTAGCCAGTTTCCATTTTGTAGGAAAAGTTGCTGTACTGAGGGAATAATTAAAAATGTTCTTTAAAGGCGTGACAAATATGTGCGCCGCATCACGGGCTACAAAGCTCGGTACCATATCTTCTCCTGCTGTTAACTTGTTTGGTAATTTACACAGTGCCTTTAGAATATCCTCATCTGTGAAGTTACCCAGATGAAAACAGTCATGCTGACTATTAACAACGGGATGTTGGTATACATTACTATCTATAACATAAACACTTTGGAAATACTCTGCGAATAAATTAATAGTCCGATTAGGATTATCTGAGACTTCATATAATTCGTGATTCAGCACTACAAAAAATAAGTGGCAAATTATTAGAGCTCGGCTTAGAAATGTCTGTCAAAGACATAAAAATGAAGATAAAAAATTTACGAGAAACACTGTCAGGAACTGTCAAAAATTGAAAAATCAACTAGGTCTGGAGCAGGTTCTAAGGACGAGTATAAGTCAAAATTAAATTGGTTCGACGAAATGCACAGTTTTATTAAATATGCACCTATGAAAAGGAAAACAACGGTAAGTAGAATTGCATTATTTATTTATTTATTTATAATACAAAGAAAATGGGTGTCAAAGCACAGGGAAATTTTGCGTCGCGTTGTCAAAGTGGCGCACACATAAATAAACAGTCAAGAAATCATTTTTAATTGCCAAGGCACCGCACCAGCATTCTTAAAGTAGGTTTTAAAGGCGTCTCTTCTCGCCGTTGCTGACATCGAAGAATGATTACTCCCTTGTTGACATAACCTCTCAAGTCCTGCAGTTTCTGTTCTCCGAGAGCCATAGGAGATGGTTCCTGCTTAAATATCTTCCCGATCGACATCACTGCTGATTAAATAATTTCGATTTTCTTTTCTCAACCAATTATGTAAAGCGCATGCTGCTAATACGACTTTGTCTACTGTTTCTACATTAGTTGCAATTGGTTTTTGGAATACACGAAATCGGCTTACCAACATACCAAAGGCATTTTCCACTATTCGTCTCGCTCTGGAGAGTCGGTAGTTATAAACTTTCTGTTCCTGTGTTAAATTGTCACCAGGGTAAGGTTTCATAATATAGGTTTTTAATGGAAATGCGGCATCTGCAACAGTCACTCCACCCTCTGGTATAAGATTATTCTCCAGTTTATTATATATGGAGCAATTTTTAAGTACACTTCCATCTGATGCCATTCCACAAGCCCCGACATCAACATAACGAAAGCAATAGTCATCATCTACTAACGCCATAAGAACAATACTGAACACTTTCTTATAATTGAAGTACATACTTCCACTATTACCAGGAGGGATAATTTGAATATGTTTTCCATCAATGGCACCATAGCATAAAGGAAAGTTCCATCTCTTTCTAAATCCATTTTCTATTTTCGCCCATTCTTCGGCATTATTTGGTATCTGCAAAAAATAATAATATGTACCTATTTATTATAATTATTACTAAAGTGTTTTTTTGTTTTTTGTTTTAGGACAGTCAAGAATCAGCAATAGATGAAGAGCAAGATAACAGCCAAATGAGCCAAGCCAAGATTGAAAATAGCAAAGAAAATAATATTGGCAACAGCAATGACAATAGTGATAACAGTGAAGACGTTGCCAATTCTGAAAATTTTTCACCACAGCCATCTACATCTGCGACAGGTAATATACCACAACGCAACGAGTCTGCGACACCAACTGCGAAAACTACTAGTAAATCAAACTATAAAATGTCAGCTCCAACTCTGAAAAAGAGAAAAAATGACATCATTGGTTAGGGAAATAAAGTCGATGAAGGATGATTTAAATAGTACATCTACGGATGAGCATTCTACACCACAACAAAATGAGCATATTTTTGGAACTTTTGTGAGTAGCCAACTGAAAATATTATCTACTGCACGAGCTATTATGGCTCGGGACAAAATCAATGCATATTATCTCAGTTTCGCATGGAAAATCTGAACTGCGTAAACACCACATTTACATGCAAGACGGCTAGTAGTCATTGCTCTTCAGATTCACACACAACAATTAATACTGTACAATTGCCACTTACATCAGAAGAGTCGGTTTTGTCAATAATTACAGAAAATGAAGATAATTAGCAACCACAAAATCCAATCGACCAGATTAATATCGATTTTTTACGCCAGGACAATAAGAATCCTATTGCTGTATAATTTTTTTATATTCTTATGTATAATTTTGTGATCAATAAAAATATAAAGTTATTATTAGTACTAACCTTTATGTTTTCTTTCTCATGCCTTGAAGATTTCTTCACATACCTCTGGTATGAATTTAGATATGGAACACCTTCAAACCCGATAAAAGTGACTCAGTCTTCTGTAACTGATGCCGGAAGAAAGAAAATCTAATGTGATCTCCAATTTTACTTTTGCTGGTAAGGCCTCTCTCATAGTAGTATGCTGTCGTTGAATTTTTGGCATCACAAGACTCAACAGAATATCAAACATATCTGGCATCATTCGTAGAATACTGATATACTCTTTTACGTCTTCATTGCGAAGTTCTGCAGATCCACGTTCATTCCTTTTTAAAATCCATGGTCTTGTCCAAACGCGTTTTTCCAATAAAGCTTCTGTTAATTCATCCAATACAATTTGGCACAGTTTCCGAAGTAACTGTTTCAGTCGAACATTATTTGTTTTAGAAATATTTTTCATTTTCAGTGGATTTATTGCTCTATTGATCTCTGCAATAGTACTGGCTACTGGCCTAAAATTTCCTAGCATCCTAGCCACATGTAAACCGTTCTAGCATGCGCCAAGCCAGACAGTAACTAAGGCTAGGATACCGGAATATCTAGCTTGCTATCCTAGCTTGAAAAACTAACCTCGTGTAATCCGGGCATTAGGGTGCTCATGATAGAAGCTATGAGTACATTTCGCACGGATGACAGTTCAATTCCAAATCCACATCATCAGCATCAGACTGTTACACACATGCATCGGCCACGCAGCGAAGTACGTGTTATTGACACGCCAGGGAGAAGCCCTCGATCAGTGAAATATATCCAAAAGGTACGTAGAATATGTTTGAAAAATGTTCAGTCTGCTAAAAAAAACAAAGTTTGAGAGCTATTTACTTTTTGAACCTTTTTGCCCGCAGCTCCACTGCCACTCTATCTATTTTCAAAAACTATAAATTTTGTTTTTGCTCCTAGCATAGTAGTAACCTTGTGTGAAAATTTCATCAAAATCCGACCGATATTTTCCTAGTTATAGAGGGGTCAATGTTGGCGGATATACAGTCAGACAGACAGACCGACGGAAATATGTGATGTGGTTTTTCGTGATGTACATTTCATATAACATCAAAAAACATAATATCTCAATTTATTAATTTTTCACGATTACCATACTTTCTTGCCAGTCGAGTAGCAAGTAGAAAGAAACATGTATAGGTGAGAACCCATACTTTGCGGAATGATAAGAATGGAGGAAAAAGTAATAGGTAATGCCCAGGATCGTGACTATTTCCTTCTAGATGTGCAAGCACTTGAAAAAACGCCGAATAATATACAAGGTATCCTCGAAGATGGCGCTTTCCTTTATACGATGTATGTTTCTTGTAAGAATAAACGAGTTGACCTTACACTGCATACACCGAAGACTTAAGGTAACCGCGACGATAAGCTCCAGAAAAAGCTGTATTAACCCATTAACGCTCACTGTACTCAGCCGGGTACAGCTTACAAAACTGTATTTTGCTGTCATCTAGCTAGCACTAACCAAAACATTTCATTATATGTCGAACTTTTGGTATATTAGCTGATAGATGTCGATACGTGTTTGGTTGAAAATGTATATTGGCTATTCTGTAGGACTTTTATTCGGTACTTCCCTAAGTGTTTGACGCATATCTTGAGGTTATTGAATGAAAATATTTACGAAACGCCGTTTTTTAGTGCTGATGAGCTAATTTTGGTGTTTGTGGATTGTTGAAAGTGCAACTGAACTATTTTTATCACTTTTGTAGAGCAAACTCCAAAATTCGCAAATTGGTAAGTAAAAAATAATCACTGTACTCATATGAGTACAGTTATTAAATGTTATGTGAAAAATCTTATTCATTGGAAAAACATATTTTTTTAGTAAACAATGGATATTACGCGCTTACCAGAAGTCCTGCATCATGTTTTTATGGCACTAGACGGTATAAGTATTTGGAACCGGTCTTAGAAAAGGTTGCTTCGTCAAAAACTCAAAAAATAATTGATGTTGTTATCATTCCTCCTGCTGGTGATTTACAGACAGATGAAGAGGAGTTTTATGAAAATATCATATCTGATGATAGAGTACTACGTTGATGCCGCAAGAAATCGCTGGGGAAGTCGAACTCCACCATATAAGCAGCAGTGAAAGCGAAGACAGTGATCGCGAATACCATTTAGCTTTATCTGTCCTAAGAGAAAAAATTTTGAAACAAAAAGCTTTGGAAAATAAGGATAAAAAGCTGCCTGGACCTAAATGGACTGATAATTTTGTAGATATAAGTTTGCCATCAACAAATGGAAGCCTTGATAGGCTGGAGATTCTAAAACATGACTTGGAAAACTTAAATCCAGTTGAAGTTTTTGAAAAGCTGTTTGATGATACCGTCTTTGACCACATTGTTGCTCAAACAAATTTACATGCATCACAGCACAATAGGTATGATTTTTTTGTATCAAAAGCAGATATAAAGCTTTTTTTTTGAGTTCTTCTCTTATCAGGCTACCACAGGCTGCCAAGTGAGAGAAATTACTGGAATATTGATGAAGATTTGAGTGTACCACTAATAGCAAATGCCATGTCAAGAAATCGTTTTAGTGACATCAAGAAATATATTCATTTGGTGAATAATGAATCATTAGACGAAAAAGATAAAATGGCAAAATTACGCCCTCTTATATCTCTTCTAAATCAAAGATTTCAGCAATGGGATATATGGAATGAAAATCTTTCGATAGATGAAGCGATGGGTAAGTTTTTTGGGCGTCATTCCAGCTAACAGTACATAAAAGGCAAACCCGTACGCCTTGGCTATACAAATTGGATGCTATGTAGTTGAACAGGCTATTGCTACTCGTTTGATACCTATTGCGGCGCTAAAGATTCCAAAAAACAAAAAGATATTCCTTTAGGCTCTAGGTTGTCCTTGAGCTGTTGAAATGTGTTGCCGTACCGTCGAGTCACATACTTTTTTTTGACAATAATTTCAGCAGTCTTAAACTGCTCAAGATATTGAAAGCGCGGGGGCAAAGGGCTACCGGAACTGTTCGGGAGAATCGAACAAGAAAGTGTCCTTTGACACCCGTTAAATCCTTCAAAAAAAAAGCAAGGGACTTTGAACACATTTATGACAACGATTCTGGCCTTCTTTTTGTCAGATGGAAAGACAATAATACAGTTTCCATGGTCACAAATTATGATACACTTGAACCCGTTGGACGAGTAAAACGCTGGTCAACAACTGCCAAAGCCAAGATAGATGTTTATCAACCCAAAATATATCAAAACTACAACAAATCTATGGGCGGCGTTGACTTACACTATCAAGCTGTAAGTAACTATAGGATTTCTATCCGTGGAAAGAAATGGTGGTGGGCACTTTTCACCAACATGATAAATATCGGAGTAGTCAATGCCTGGAGGCTTTATCAGCAGGCAAATGATGAGCCTATGGCACTTTTGGACTCTCAGAGGAACATAGTACGTCACTATCTGGCTTGTCACGCAAAGGCAAAATTTTATAAAAGACCATGCCAGCCTGCTCAGTTACCAGTAAGTGTAAAATATCTTGAAGGTGGTCACTTCCCTTTGAAACTGGAGAAACAACAAAGATGTGTTCAATGTCATCAAAAGGTCAGATGAAGCTGCACAAAATGTAACGTTACCTTGTGTATGGAAAGAAATTGTTTTGTTAATTACCATTCCTAGTTTTAGTTACTTTTGTTTGCATTTCTATAAAAGTAAATAAAGTTGTGGTAAAAAAAATCATTTTATATAGGAGCATATTAGCCCACTGTACTCAAATGAGTACATAGGTATGCAGAGAGAACCCTTCATATTTGAATATAGATTGTATTTAAGTTTTTACTTAAAATAAGGCATATTTTAAAGAAAAATCTTTTTTTTTCAAATTTCCACAAAAATCGCCCGTGGGCGTTAATGGGTTAAAGCCATGCCTCCAGCAAACAATTATGTAGGTATAAAGACGGATGTCAGTGTTTCACCTGTTGCGTTGCTTCGGGTCAGTAAACAGAGCTGTTTATTTACAAAGTTGATTCGGAAAAGCCGAAAATTGAACACTGATATAAATAACGAATTTATCGATTTGCTGTTAAGATACTGTGTAGGATTTACGAGTGTGTCCAGGTCATTTACCGGAACGTTTTTGTCCGGCGCTGTACGTACCTGTCTATTTCGTACAAAAGAACATAGGTCGACTGCAGGTATGTCAATGTGGGTACAATGGGAGTCTTAGAAAAGCCTGAATATAGTAAACGTCAATTACAAACCTGTGTTAAGATTTTATTGTCTGACTGCTGAGTTTCAGCCACATATGTTTTAAACACTGCTCACTCGACAACGTTAATGAAAAAGTAAATGAACTGTCACCTGGAAGACAGATAAACAAAATAAAATGTCATTAATTGTCATTATGCTTGCCACTGTGGTGGCCAAAACGTCATACAGTAAACAGTAATTAAAACATACAAGTTGGAACTTTCCTTTACACGGAGTATAGCACTTGGAAAAATAAACAGTTTTCTCTAGTAACATACACAACAAAGTCTCAAAATTTCCGAGATGTTACGCTCTGCAAAATCAATCAAACCTGAACAAAAATCAATCCGGTCCAGCACATCGATCAGATGCGCATCAGTATCCAATCCAGACGCTTTCCGCGTTGGTAAAGACAACCTTTAGACATCGGTTCTAAAAAAAACAATACAAAACTGGCAGACTCACAAAACAATACCGGAGTTGTACATATTATTTTAATTTATTGTGAGTCTCTTCGCGAGTGCATGCAGATGGTTTTTCAAGATCTTTCGTGATTTTTTTTCTTATTTGTAATGAAATATTAAGTTATATAACTGGGGTGAACGCGGTTGAAGAACTGTGTGCGAATTTAGCAATCTACTGCTTTCATTTTAAAAACTTGTGTTTTTAGAACGCGATGGTGCACTGTAACATCAGGCGGTACTTGAAATTTACGAAGAGTATTTTTTTAGTAATAATACTTATATGTACTTATTAAGGTAGATTGTTGAGAAAAACGCTAGCTTTACACTCTACGATCAGTATAAATGGCAATACGTCTTACGGCAGTTCATCTAAACTGTTAGCTGCGTTGATCTGTCTAGGATGTAGAAGATCATAGCCAATCTCATTGTAAATTTCCATATAGCTTATATGAACAAGAGGTTTTGGTGACATCTGAAAATTTATTATTGTTCTTAGGTGTTACTAATAAATTATATCCAAAATTACCTTTTCGCTTCGTTTAAATATGTATTGGATACTCCTTGGTATTATACCTCTATCCGCATATTTATTTGGAGATCCAGTAATTGTATAAGTTTTTCCGCTTCCTGTCTAGAATTAGTTGACAATAGGGGACATGTTATTAGGTCATAAACAAACATACCTGACCGTAAGCGAAGATAGTGCAATTGTAACCTTCCAATGCGCTGAAAATGTCAGTGAATAATAAATTGTTGACAGAGAAATATTTATGCTGCTATTAAATGTATATTTACAGATCAAATGAGGTGGTTTCATAACTTTGTGACATCAACGACATGAATCATTAAAATAGTAAGACTGTTCTCAAACTCTTAGCAGTAGACCACCAAGATTTAAACTGATCTTATAGTAATTTTTGAAGCAGTAGCATTATTACAAAAAGATATGCAGACCTAATTGTGTTTAGAATGCAACAGTCAGAATTCTATTTTTCTTAACATCTAGGTACTTTAATTTCACTTATCCTGCGTTTGAGAACCATTCAATAAATATAAATATACATCCTTAGGGATTCATTTGCATTGATTTTTAGAACATTTTAGCTTACCTCTTGATTAGTGGCTTAGCTACAGTTTCAAATATTTCATCCTGGCTGGAGCCTTCTCCAAAAATTTTATGAAACCTGTAGAAAAATAGTAAATTCATAGTTCATAGTATGGTGTATGGATGTAGTCAATAATACAAATGTAAACTGAATTTTATATCTTTAATTTCAGTCTCTATGACCATAACTAATCTAATATAACGTTGTTCCATATTTTTTAGCAATCATCAGTATGGTATACGCTAGTTGATAGAGACAGACAACGGAAAGCGGACAGCAACAACAGGTTTACTGAGGAACTCAGTATTCCAGTGCGCGATAACATTGCCGTCTATGAGTTGCTCGCCCAACTCGATACTACCGACCCCTATGTCGGTTGCAGGAAACTGGTTTGCTGACATATCTGATTTGGGGTCGAACTACTCATGGCAGTATCACCTTTACTTTTTACACACTAGAAAACTGAGTTTTTCAGTAGAGCCATTTTTCCTTGTTTGATTTCCGTTTTCTGTCTCCCAGGACTAGACCGATTCCGTACTGGCAATTGCTAAAAGCATAAAACAATGTTGCATGCGTTGACTGGACTATGGACTATCTGTCTCTGCCTGCCTGTCCCTCTGGTGGAGGTGCCTGGATACTTATTTTGAATTCGACGAATTCCAGAAATTTCGCGCACTGAAATCGAACGTGTTGAGATGGCTATCGATACTTCTCGAACATTCTCGATGTCGACAGACGCCCCATGAGCCTGCAATCGCCCACGCACAGCCACGTAACTCTGGTTGCCTAAACGTCGATGTTTCTGAACACCTGTCGAATCTTCTGGTCGATATACGAGCGCGTCTCGCTGGTACCCAAAGTTTTAGTTATACGAGGGTGTTACACTACCTAGTACCTCAAAGTTAGTAGCATGGTGAGTACTTCGTCCCAATGGGGCCACCAATGAGAGACGTTGGGAAACTAGTTTCCTGTTACCGACGTAGGGGACAGTGGTACCGCATAGGTGGCAGTGTGACCTCTTCGCATGATAATAGGAACATACACGTGGGCTATGAAATTGCTGTTGGATCATCTCTGTAATCATCAGTTCCAGTATCTACAGTAAGACTATATTTGTTATGACCGGAGTAAGTAGTAGAGAATAGTTGATTAGAGTAGAGTAGAGTAAACCTCTGCCCAAATAAAAGGTTTTCCAATAAGTACCGCTGGCCGTTGACTGTCGACAGCTGAGATGAAAGACCAAGTTGAGTTTATCACTTTGCGAAACATTTGTTAATTCGTATATGCCAATAATGGCATCCATTTCTTAACTGCCTGCCATAATGGACATTTTGCATCAATCCATTGATGGTAGAGTTATTTCTTGCAGAGGTTGTATGAACTGGTCACCAAGATCGAATTTGTCCCATCCTTCCTTTTCCTATCGGCTTCCGTGGAGTCGCAGGTGTTCACTATTTCCATACGGCATTAGAACTCAATTATAATGAATCCAATCCAGGTCATATGTCATACAAATTGCCATACATAGTCAATCCGAACAAACAAGGTCCTCGTTAATACCTTACACGCAACTTGTTTCAATTTATATCAACATCGGCCCATCCTTACTGAAAAACCCTTTAATACATCTGATGATACGATTCTCAGAAACCATTCAAGGTAGTGTATACTGTATAGCCATAAATTATTCTAATGATGCTGATTCATTTGAATGCTGTTTTAACCAGAAACTGTAAATTACGGTAAGTTCTTCATAATAGCTGCTCAAAGATACATGCAAACATTAAAAACGTCTTAATTGTACCAAACCCGTCACTAATTAGCTACGTTTTCGGCAAAGGAAGGGCATTCACCTTATAACAAAACGAACTAACCGTCATAGTGAGTGCTTATGCTCCTAGATTAAATGCGCATCCAAAAGAATCATAATTATTATAATTTAAAAAATTGTTCTTCCGCATTAAACTACTAGGGTTTTGACGGTTGATGATCACTAACAGTAAATTGAAGATTCAGCGCGAAGATAGTTTCCATCTCAAATAACTTTATCAGCAAATTTTTGTTACCTGTTATTCATGTTGTATAAAAGAAAGAAAAGACAGGGACTGTAGCTATCCAGAAAGTTTACGGTACAAGCAACTGAAAGTACAAAAATATAGTAGTGCTGATGCAAGTATCGTTACATTTTGTAAGTATACTAAGTGACATATAAATCCGAACACCCAGTTTAAATGGTTTTATTTTAATAAAATTTTGTATAAGTACTTAATGCAGCATAATAAGTAAATGATAAAAATTTCAAAATGATTGCACTGCTTTAAAGCCCTTTGACCTTTAATAATGTGTGGATGCACCCTGATGTGCTACGCATTCTCCAACGCGCCTAGGCATGCTTCTGATCAGGTGGTCAATGTCCTCCTGTGGTATCTCATTCCAGGCAACCACCAACTCCTCTCGAAGTGCTTCTAGAGTCTGAGGAGGACGTTGCAAATTGAGCAATCTCCTACCCATCATATCCCACACGTGCTCAATTGGGGATAAGTCGGGAGATCTTGGTGGCCATGGTAACAATGTGACATCATTATGTTGAAAGAAGTCTATTGTGACTCTTGCAACATGTGGTCGGGCATTATCTTGTTGGAAAGTTGGATCTGCCAGGGTGTCAAGATATGGTAAAAGATGGGGTTCTAGAACTTCGTGGATATAACGCTGCGCGTTCATGTTACCTCTGATGAAGATTAAAGGTGACCTGGAACCATAAGCTATAGCACCCCAAACCATAACTCCAACAGTGTGATGAACATGTCTTTCAACAAAAAACTGTGGATTCCTCCTTTCACCACGTCGCCTTCTAACCCTGGCACGACCATCGTGCATGCCTAAACAAAATCGAGACTCGTCACAAAAGACAATACTGTTCCATTCCTGATCCCAGAGTGACCGTTGTCTGCACCACTCAAGGCGATTACGTCGGTGATCTCGAGTTAAAGGGAGGACACAGTGTGGCAGGTATGAAAACAAGCCAAAACTTCTCATTCGTCGGTAAACACTTCGCATGCCAATAGGTCTTCCGTGTTCTGCAAACCATGCATTTGCAATGGACCTGGTAGTAGAGAAACGGTCCCTTAAGGCCAATAATCTTAGGCGGCGATCTTCACGGTCTGTTGTTCTACGGCGGCGTCCAGTGCCCCTTGCTCTTTGCGTACGGCCTTCTCGAAGCCATGCCTGACAACACCTAACCACAGTGTCTACACTTCTTTGCACTCTAACTGCAATTGCCCAAAAAGAAAGTCCAGCTTCCCGAAGTCCCACTATACGGCCCCTATCAAACTCACTAAGTTGACGAAATCGTACAGGTCTCCGTACTCTAGGCATCGTAATCGATCGTAAAGTATGTCAAGAACCAAAATCCGCCAACGTTGATTGTTTACTGCGGCTGAAATATTCATTTTTAGAGCGTTAGTGAATTAAAAAAAAGCAGTATAAAAACCAGAATGTCCAACTGATAAGGCTGAAAATTTCTTCACTTGTTATTTACAGTAAGATAAATACATTCACCAACTTTTATTAAAATAAAACCATTTAAACTGGGTGTTCGGATTTGTATGTCACTTAGTATAGTTTTCCACCCAAAACATCAATGAATAACGAAAAGTATGGTGATTTTGTAGAAAAATGCTGCACCCTAAGTTTAGTTCAATGTTTGAGCGGAGGCTCATGATATTAAAAGTTTCCCTGGTGGACGGATTCTACCTGAATGACTTACAGCCATGAATTCTATGTGTGGTGCTCCGAAAAATCAGGTCCTCAAAATCGTTACTATCATTGCGTCTACTGATAGTGTAATTCTGAAAAAAAAATGAGAATAAATGGACGGCTTTTTGCAGAAAGGAATCAACCCAGAAAAACAATTATCGAGCAATTAGGCTTTAAAGTTTTGTTATTGATAACAAATTAATTTCAGTCCAAACACGATTTTTATTAATGGCATACTATAGACTTTAAATATATGTATGTATCTTTTCTACAGTAAATGGTATTGCTCAAAAATAGTTCATTTTCCTAAAATCTGGATTTTTCATATTTAGTGGGTTGGTTCCCTTCTCCAAAAAGCGATCCAAATGAGTGATGATTGAAAAGCTAATAATTGCAAATTATACTTGTCTTCAACTCACCGCTGTTGTACTGCTATCATGTTCCTTTTTGAGTCTGGCAAATACTTTAATATCATGGTTAACGGCCATGTGATAGTGGTACTATTTTCAAAACTAGCGTGAAATAACCTCAATAAGTTCGGAGTTGACATTTTGCTGTCTTACTTGACATGTACATAACAAAGTCAAGAACACATAAATGATTTAGTTATACTGAGGCAGATTTCTCTCGGTTTCACCCATGATAGAGGCACGACCTAGCCGAAACATGCAGCAGCGTTGAAAACAAAATTCCAAATTTCGATTCGGCAACTATACCTTTGTTATGTAGAAAAATGTGTTTGATAAACAATGATTGACTGTATAAAATTATTTGTTTAAGATTTATTCAGTATGATTGCTCCAATTACATTCTTCTAAAAAACTAAACTATTACATAATATACAGATATTTAGAAAAGAACAAAATTTACATCTCTAAGAATTTTTACTGTGCATGAAACATTCCTTTAATTTTCTTTTAAACATCTTTAAATTACAAGTAGACTTTATATCATTATTTAGTTTATTAAATTTAAATAATACTTTGTGAAATATTGATTTGCTTGTTATATTACTACTGCAATTTTGTAAATGAAAATCTATATTTCCTCTTGTATAATAATTGTGGTAATGATTATTCAATTCTATGTAGTGTTCTAAATGTTGTGGCAAAAGATGATTTTTATGTTAAATATAAAAATAAGAACCAACTATGATATGAAATTTTTTATATTCAACCACTGCAATTCTTGTAACATAGATTTGATTTTGGTGTACAATATTATTCTCATAGCTTTATTTTGCAAGGCTTGTAATTTTGAGAATACAGCTTCACTGGCAATGAACAAGATAGTAGAACAATATAGTAATTGCGGTAGAATAGTTGTATTATAAACTATTTTCTTGAAAGACTATGAGAAGCCCTATAAAAGTAATTTGTTCTTTGGCAATTTTTGAAATAATGTATACATAGCGATCCTCAAACTTTAGTTTACTATCAATATATATACCTAAATATTTAATTGATTCAACATTTTCAATTATTTCTCCATGTATCCTAACTATGATAGTATTTTCATTTAGGTATTTCCCTATTAGCATACATTTTGTTTTAGGAGTATTCAATTTCATTTTATTCATACTTAACCAATTTAGTATTTTTGCCAAGAATTTAGCATTTTTAAAGCAGTGTCTATATTTTAAAATATTACAAATGTCATTAATGTACGAAATAAATAGTAGTGGACCTAGTTTACTACCTTGTGGTATACCAACAGAAATATTTTTTGATCTTGATAATGTAGATCCAATTTTGGTTTTTTGACTTCTGACAATTAGATAATTTTGTAGAATATTAAATACAGATCCTTTAAATCCGCAGCGATGTAATTTTGTAAGTAATTTATCCCTGTCAATAGTCTCAAACGCCCTTTTGAAGTGTCTCTTCCTGAATCCAGCTTAAAATTTGGTTAAAATGTTATTTCGCGTGGGGCGCGCGCCCATCCTAGACGTCTGACACTTGCTTTTGTAATCTAACACGATTGTGTTGCTTTCTGACACATCATGGCGACAGAGGTATACTAACTATAAGTTATAGCTATCGGAACTGAGCATTGCGATTTTTGGTATCCTTTGGTATTCCAAACGCTGTCCCTCTTCGACATCACTTACGTTTACAGCACAATTCTTACGATTTATACGTATACTTATACGAGTATTGTGACTTGTGACAAATCTATGTCTAAGCAATATATTAGCTATACAGATTGCACTTAAAAAGTGACTTATGTTCTGTTTGTTGTTCAATAGTAATTTGAAAAGTGTGTAAAGCGTGTTTTTTGGGATTCAATCTAAATAATTGGCAGGGACGAAAAAACTCTTATAAGATTTTTAGGTTTATGGGACCTACAAAATGAGACCACACGTAAAAAGATCCGACTAATAGCAAAAAAGTTATCGCCGAAAACCGAGGCAAATTGCAGGCCTTGGCTCGTGTTGATAATGCGACGACGGTTTCTCGCAGATATTTGAAATTCTCCAAATTCGTAGGATTGGTACTTCTAAATAACCACAACAAACTTGGGTTAGATTGGTCAAGTAGTTTGTGAGAATTTCTAATTGCTTATCCCATGACATCTGTTTTCCGACCATCATTACTAGTTTTTTTGAGCAATATACATGGGTTAGTTCAAAGGGCATTTTAGAGCAAAATACACTAGTTTACCTTGCCGATATGAATCGAAAACTATTCCGGAAGATAAATGTTGTTTTTGTGCAAAAATTCAAACATTTCGTATTTGTGAGTAACTCGCAACAAAAGATGATAGACACATCCGTTCTGTTTCTCTTGAAATGATTTGTAATTCATATGGGCAAAGTAAATTAGTGTATTTTGCTGTAAAACGCTCGTTGAACTAATCCTGTATATAGCTCAATAAACTAGTAGTGATGTCCGGAAAACATTTGTTTTGGGATAAACAATTAGAAATTTTTAAAAAACTTGACCATTATACTCCAATTTTGCTGTTGTTATTCAGAAGTATGAATCCTGCGGATTTGCAGAATTTCAAGTAGTTGCGTAAAATTATCGTGGCATTACCAACAAGTGCAAAAACCTGCAATTTGACTGGTTTTTCGGCCATACATTTTTGCTACTAGTTGGATCTTTTCACGTGTGGTCTCATTCTGTAGATCTCGTAAACACCTAAGGATCTTGCATAAAAGTTTTTTCGTTCCTTTCAACACTTTCAATTGAATCCCAAAAACACGTTTTCTCATTCTTTGTTGTCATATAAAAAGTTTTACCACAAAAATTAGTGTAACCGTTTTATGCGTCCATGTTTAAAATGCGCCCTTGAACAACTTGCACCAATAAAACCGGACTTTGCAATTATTTCGGGGAAATGTGCTAATATGATTAGACTATATGTTAGATGAATGCCTACATTGGAAATATACATTTATGAGATTTGCTTAGCGGTGCAACTGTAGCCTGTCAAGAAAATGCTTCGATCGATGCTCAAAGTCAATACCACACGTCCCGCATTTCTTCCCGCATGTGTTTCTATTTATGTTGCTATATTGAAATTCGTGTAAGTCACAGAGAGCTTCTGCACTACACGTGAATATGTACAGGCCTGTATTCCTGTTCTTGTTTCGTAGAAACATACATTATCAGAATAATTACGATCTAACGTAGGTATATAGCTTTTTCAAAAGATTTCCAATATTTTTACATGCGATTAACACCGATTCGAAAACTGAGAAAACAACAACTATGCCGTACATGTAAGTTCGACAACGAAAGTCTGAAGAATAATTGTAACATCTACATATATTGAATTTCAAAAAATAACTGACTATACCTATTGGTATTTTTATCATAATAGAAGTACTTGATTATGTCAGTATTTACACCAATTACTTGATTTGTTTAACGGGTAGTTCAGATTATTAATCCTTAAGCTTAGTACGCACTAGTAGCCCCGTTGCGCAATTTGTCTATAGGCAGTCTGGAGACAGTTTCAAGACACGATCTGTAGATGGTCTATAGACATCCTTCTTTGTCTCGCCTTGCGTCCATACGATAATGTGAATTTTTCGGTCTCATATTCGTTTTCGCTATCAAAGACATTGTTTTGTGCTGAATGGCTGGGATATGTCTCGGGTCGGTCCCTCAAAATGTTTTTTGTAGTTAACAGAGCAATAAAGTTTTTTATGTTTTATTCTTTAATATTATTACACTAGTTAATTATAAGTGCCTCGTAATTCATTTGTTCTCATATAATCAAATATTGCCTTTCTGAGGACTTTTGAGCACTTTCCATATTTTTTTTAAAGTTGGCATTGAACAGATAGAACATAATGGATTTAAAGAGCAATAATAGGATGAATTCTAGAAGTTCCACTGAGGTAGAAAAATTACCAGCCCCAAATATCGTTTGCGCACCTAATAAAATCACAATATTGTAAAAGAAAATAAATAAGGTATTTATGAACTACTAAATTTATATCAGGCAATTGTTCTAAATAACTTACCTTAATTTTAGTAATCACATTTCTCGCACTATTAAAAATACTTTTAACTGTCAATACGTAACAAATTGTGATGTCACAGCAAACCATATGCAAAACTAAACTATAAACACATGTAGAATACTACTGCGTCTTAGTTCACAACTTTTTGGCATTACTAGAAGATAGTGCTACAAAGATACAAAGTTACACCACTGTCTCAAATTAGGCGCTTGTCTCAAATTTGGTTCCTTTCCTCTATACTTCTGTTTTTCTTTGCTCTTCTCCTTTTTCTTCTCTTTCCCTCTCTCATCTTCCTTGACACTGTCTGGTTTCTGGGCAACTAAGACTGACACATTCGACTAAGGTACATTAGACAGTTACTAATGGGCTAACTTCCTACGGACCACCCAGACAAGCAAATGACGAATAGTACTGAGGTATTGAATGATATGGTCTGACCAACAAAGTCTGGCTTGGTGCTTTTTTCCAAGTCCCACGTGCGTACTTTGCAAATTATGCAAAACAAAATCCCACCATATATGTACCATTCACAGAGATCTGCGAATACCTACGATCTTTGAGCAGATCAGTTTATTCGCTTGGAACCACAGATTCCCTACTAGGAAGCGTTATGACATGCAAGCTTTCTTAGTAATCACCGGAGTGGACTCCTGCTCAAGTCTGGCATTCTAAATTATAAATATTTTGGCATTACTGTAGCTAGCATTCGAAAACCAAATTAAACAACTTGCAACCTTATTTAATAATAATAACAATAATAATAATAATAATAATAGTAATGTTCTTTATTTTCACATCATATACGTACATTTCTCACACACACACACACACACACATGAGAAAGAGAATCATGATAGTGGGAAAACCTCAAGGGGGAGTTCAGCTAGAGGTGTTCTTCCACTCAACCCTTGCCAGTAGTAGAATCCATGTAAAAAATATCCTAACCTAAAACTAACCAAAAAACACTCCCTTGTCACCTAAATCAAACATGGAAATTGCAATAATTTAATTGGTCATAAAGTAATCTGAAACTAGATCCTTAAAATTTATGTGGATTGCATCATTTAAG